AAAGAACAAAAATTTTGCCAATAAAAGCCACAAATAACATTGAACAGAGTTACAATTTAGGATTTAGCTTCCTTGTTTCCTCTTTTAATAGCATATAGCAAAAAAACTTGGAAAATTATTTTTCCAACAGAAATAAATAGAGTCAAAGTGAAAAATTCAAACTCTCATAACTTCGAAATTATTATAGATAATTTTTTTTAACATTTTTTCCATGTTTCTCGTATCTTACCTAATATGGCATTTTTCTCTGGGGCGCGAGTTCTGGAGCACCTTGTATACATACATAATAAAAAATTACACACTTTCATAATTGTTAATTTAAAAAAAAAATTGTTACTACTCTTAGTTCTTTGTCAAAATTTTTGTTAGACATTTTCGTCAAAGTATAGAATATTTTTTCCATTTTTCACTCTCGAAACCAAAGGTTTAAGAATGCAGTTGGCCATGAAAATCAAAACTCACTGGTCCATCTACACTTTCATACAAGTTGCAAGTGTTATTTACTTGTTTATAAACTTTTATACAAAGTAAAACATACAGTATGTGTGATAAAATGTTCTTTTTGCTGCATTACAATATTTGTCAACTTGAAAAATACTTTTGGAATAAATCAAAACAATCGTTGTTTCGACAAGTTTTAAAATGTCACTTTACTCTTTAAAAATTGTTATTTGGGACAAAACTTGCTTCTCACGTAGACATTAAGCAAGTACTTTTTCCCATGCACTTAACTTTAGTTCTAAAAAGTCTTAATTGCAATTTCTTGTGTAACTGGATATAAAGGTTTAAGGTCTTTTTTGTTTCGTTCTTTCTCTCAATTTCCACCTGTCGAAATTTCTCTTCTCTCGACCGCTTTTCTCCTTTGCTCAATGTTGCAACGTGCGTCACCGCCAAAATTATTTTCCTATTTCCACACCGTCGAAAAATGCCGTTCTTTGCAATTTTTTACCAACTCTCACCAGTGAAATGAGACCAGTCGCCCATCTGAGACCTGTTACGTCCATTCCCAATGCTAATAAATCGAAACCAGTCACATCCATCATGCGTAATACACCACAAAACCAACAACAATGGGCAATTCGGTCGCCCATCAGCATTACTTAACAATGCATGAATTACCCGCATTACGATGTGAAAGCGTACAAGAATCCCAAAAATCCTATACACCCGTTGCCACACTCTTTCAGGGATGCTTATTCTAGATCTTTTCGAACTGGGAGAAAGTGGGAAAGTTAGTACTTGTCCCAATGGTGAATAAGCGATGTAGGTTTTTTCAATAAGCCGATGCGAAATATGTGAAGATTTGCCGCACGGTGACGTAATACCAATCGGAGAAAGTAATGGGCAATTACAATATTTCGCGCAATGGTAATGTCAACATTACTACAATGGGACTTTCTTCAGTTTCTTCTTTTTGTCTCTTGACCAATTCTGGCGAGTTACGTAACTAATATTTTATTTTCTTTGCCATTTTTCGAAGATGTCAAGAGAAAAAGTTTTTCTTGTGGAGTTTTGGAGACACAAAAAGCAGAATATTGAAGATAATAACTTTTAAATGATGTTACTCGATTTCCTTATTTGCACTACAGGTCTCATCGCATCATAAAATCACTTCAAAAAAATGTCGTCAATTTGCAGCTTTTATAGAATCACTTATAGTTAGAACTGTTAGAAGCCTAATTAAAAACAGTATTATATAATAACATTAGCATAAACCTTGACCACCTTCCCTTTTTCGATATTTTATATTAAAGTTTACTAATAATAAGAAAAACTGCCAATTTTTAATAAGTGTTCAATTTTAAGTAAAATACTATTCAATGGTTAATCATAAAAATGCTGAGAAGTTAATTAAATTTCTGTGTATTCTATAATGTCATTAGAGAAAACAATAAGAAGCAATAAAACTTGAAAATTTAATTAAACTATACCGTTTTTGTTTAATGTTTGTTTTGATACAGTTACATGATTGATTACTTTTCTAATATTCAAATGAATTTATTTTGCGGTGGGTGTCTATACCCGGCATTAAAATCTCTTCGAATGCCTTACATAACGTAAATTATCCACGGTAGAAATAAATCTCAGTGCACTTCCCTCATATTTTGCAATTATAATTTATCATAGGTAACCTAACAAAACGTTACGACGATCCTTAATAACCTTATATTTTTCGAAACCACTGTCTTATGTATGTCACCACAAAGATTAAACATCTTATTAGTGCAGAACATCAATTTGCTTGATGAAAATTGTGTAATCGGCAATTTTTGGTGTTTTAATATGATTGATACGTAAGTAGAGAAGTTGAGCATTATTTTCAGACATGCCAACTCAAGTGTGACCTAAGCTAATGGCTCAAAAACCACAACCACGACAAATGAAGACGTACCGTGTCAAATATTATGGAAAATTATAAAGAATCTAGACAATACTACACGCTCTCAAATGACGATGACCGTGAAAATTATTGACGGTCGACCGAATATAGAGAATAATTATTGGATAAAAGAGAATGTTGAGAAATTTTCACTCACAATACGCATAGGTGGTCGAAATGATTGATTTTTTATTACTAATTTCACATTAATTGTTTATTGCTTTGAAACAAGAACAAAAATTGTATGATTTATAAATTAGTTTTACAACTTCTGTAATTATTAATTGACTCGATTGTTCCACGTGTTTGTCTCCTCTTTCACTTTTTCAGTCCCCACGTGAAAAGAAAAGCGCTTAATTAATTTAATCGATCATTAATTTATTACGTAATGGCCTCAAAGCCAATTTTTGCAATTTTCTGTTTGTACGGAAGTGCTACACGGCGCCCGCCACAATCTCAAAACAAACATTTCGTCATTGTATATTTTTCCGTGTGCTTTGTGAAAAAAGTCCCAATTGCATAGGCAAACAAAATATTGTGTAAAAGGAAACAATCGAAAGATTCTTGGCGCAACAATTTTATCAATTGGGCAACTGCATGGGGTTCAAGACTACTTGACTACTAACATTTACGCCCACTCCTGCAAGAAATATCAACACCTGTCATCGTTTATTGTTTCGAGAACTAAATTAGGGATTGATGTCATCTCGGTGGGAAATTCGAGAGAAAGTCCTGAGCGAAATGGAATCTCCTGCTTCACTCTCACTGCAAGCGATGACCGTGAATTGGTGACTTGACCGTCACAGTTAGGAATTGCTTCAGTGGTGGGTTTTCCTATGGACGCGCTAATTGGACCGAGGAATTAACTATAATACACACGCTAGAATAAACAATTAATAATATAAGCAAGCAGCTTTCAAGAGCAATAAAAAACTGAAATACCTAAGTTTCTTCAAAATGGAGGGAAACTATCATTAAGAAAATTTTTTTTTGTATGTGATAATTGGACCCTATTGATACTTTTAGGCTTTGAGCTCTACCATTTTCAAGCAAAAGAAAATTAATAACAGATTTTTATTGTCACAAATTTTTATTTAGGTGTGTTTACAGTTTCAAAATAGCGAGAAAAGTCTAAACACAATTGTGGTAATTTTCAAAACATTTTAAAGCAATAGATTCAAGTTTCTAACACGCATTTAGGTATTGCCACTGCTCATAATTAAAAGAAACTGGATGGAGAAAGGTCCTCAGTAGTTCTTTGAAAATTCTTAGTATCAAACTTAAGGTTTTAAGAAAAAAGTAAATTTGTTCATAATTTTAAAATTAGGAGTCGCTTTCTAAAATCAGAAGCCCTTTTACATCTCCATCGTTTAAGTAATTGATACATGATGAAATTTTACTAATTACTTTATTCAACATTTGATGTTGAAATTCTTACATAGTAATCATAGTAAAAATTATAAAATTATATTTAAACGATTTTCTTACTTTACATTGCTTCTAGATAACGACTGACTAAGGGTGGTTGTTCTAGAAAATCATCTCTTATTTAAAGTAGAAAAAATTGCGATATAAATTACCTAGAAAAAATATGTACAGAGTGAACAAATGTAGATATAGTAGTTGTGATTTTTAGATCAGAGCTTTTGAGAAAGAAGATTTTATAGTGGGTTGTTGTGTAAAAAGATTAATACATTTTACGGAACTCAAAAACAAAACAAAAATTTGTAAAATTGTATTTTCGAGAAAAGTTTACGTTTTCATTGATCAATTAGTTAAAAAAAAATTGTTTACTATTTTCCATACTTTCTGTTCACCTGGTATAGGTTACCTACCTAACTGAGTTAAAAATATAATTAAAACTAAAACCCATATAATTATATGAACATCATAGCTTAGCATAGCATAGCATCACTTAGAGTGATTTATTTAAAATTTGTCAGTATCTAGACAATAAGAGAAATCGTTAGAAGAAATTTTTTTTCTTCTGTAAGAGTTTCGGTGATAATAAATGAATGAATTATTTTTATTGAGGATAGTAAAATTGAAAACTTGTTATAAAAAAATCATTAGGTAAATCTGTTTTAGTTAACACCGGAAATAGTACACACCTATAAGTTGTATGTGACAGCTAGCGATTAAAAGATTTATGATTTGATAAAAATAGTGTTTTACGTATGAGTTGTAGTAAGTATAAGCCCATGATGATTTCAGTTTTTCGACATGTTGTACATATATATTTAACATGTCTTATGTTACAAATAATATAGCTTTTCCTCCCTTTGAAAAATCCGAATTTCCGCTCTTATCAAGTTCAACGACACCATCGATGTCGCCAGTAATCATTTCATCATTTACATCACGTCTAGACACTAATTTAGCCAAGTATCCTCACTAATCAACTTGAAATGATTTCTCCTAGATTTCCTCAACCGATAACCGCTTCTTCCTCAGAACCTACTCGGAGACACACCTGCGCAGAATACCGACCTCAAAGGTCGCTACAATTGCACAATAAATCTGTATGATGGGCTAAAACTACACTTTCTTCTCAAATATTTGTTTTTCTTGACTTCGGAAGTGTGTAATTGTGTTATGTAACCCTTTTGTCGTTTTGCAGCCTGGGGGCCGGCCTGAGGCGGACTTCACTCTGGACGTTCCTCGGTCTGAGCTGCTGTCCAAACGCATGAAGCAGGACAAGAAATGGCGATGCCGGTGTCGGCTGCTCACCTCCTTCCTGGGGCTGATCTTCTTTCTGCTGTCTGTGATGGCTGTGAGTCTGATGCTCACCCGAGGCAAGCGCATGTTCGGTTCGATGATGTGACCAAAATTTCTTGTGATATTCGACGTTTTATCACATTGATGCACCGAAATACTGCCATATGTTTGCTCATTTTGCAGGTGCCAAATGCTAGTTACCACGATTTTGCAGTATTAGTCCTGATGGGCTATTAGAGTTGTGATAAAATTATAGTGTCATTTAGGTCTTTAGAGTGATTGTAAGTCGACGTTTGCTACGAATCGGGGGATTTGAGGCAAATGGAGGCATTATTTTTCTTTAAAAACAAATTTTTAACTTATTGATTCAGGTATTTTTTATTCAGTTTTAAGAAATGTATTTAATTAAGAGATATGTTGAAAGTTTGAGTGTAAGTTAATGTGTAAATGATGTATCAAACATGATTTGTGTGCAAATTATTGTATATATTGTAATAAATAAACAATTAAACAGTTATGCTCTTAAGTACCTTATTTTTTAATGCAATCTAACAAGATATATCTTATGACATAGCTATCGCCACTTTTGTCACTTTTCACATTGTTTTTTCTGTATACAACGGTGGAACCTTTTGGCTTAAAATTTATAGTAGGGTTTAGTTGTAACACAAATTCTTCATTTGCAAAGAAATAAAATGTTTCTGACCTATTTCACTTCAAAAAATGCAATTGCGACGTTGTCAGTGTGGCGATAGTTATGGCACGAGATGTACACAACGGCAATGTGATTATAAACTCTTAAAAAGATGAACACAAACACAATTTAAACCAGACACACCAAAATATCCTCGTGAGAATGACCACTTTGTAGTGTGTTAAAGTAAATCTGTATTTGGTAACAGAGATAATCACTTTACGAGTATCATCACTTTCTGGTAAACCCCAAATGCCCTGCTACTGCTACCGAGCTTACTCTTAATAAAAGTATCTTAAACAATTCTCTTCACAATACAATGAAGTGCAACATTTTAACCAGCGGTGTTAGGCTTCGAGATATTTATGGTTAGAGTCTGTGATTAGAGTATTTCCGTCAAGCTGTGAAAACAATAAAAGTACTTGACTCTGTTTCAAATAATTTTTTATTATACTACATCATAATCCTATATTAAAACACGCTGCAGCGTGTGTAATTTGGCCTTTATAGCACGCTGAAATTTTAAAGTTGTCTAGGTAACAGGAAATAGTGAAATGTCTGGACCAATTACATCGTGAAAAAAATGTGCTTAACAACGTAAACTAGTAACCGTCTCTACGAAAACGATTCACAAACAACCTTTGATAATTTTATTGTGTAAATTCATGTTTGTTCAATGCTCATAAAAGATCGTAAATGGGCAGGTATAATAAAAAATAGCATAAAACTCGTTATACTAAACTAAATTAGTTTTATAATATACTACTATGCCTACTTTAAAATAGAAGTTTGTTGGGGCGGGTTTAAATTGTGTTTATGTTCATCATTCCCATACCAATAAAATCCAACAAGAAGTTAAAAAAATATAAATTTTAAAATTTGATAAGAGTTTTGTAATTATAATAATTTAATGTTTTGGCATTTCTGAATGATTGTTAGTATAATTTCTTATAGAATAAACTAAATCATACCTCGATTACTTACTCGTAATTTATATTTCATGGATTTGTAATTACCTATATTCAGTTTAAATTTTAGTATAAGATTGTTTTTTTAAGATTTAAAAAAACACTACTCTTTAAAATCTTAAATTAAACTAAGCCTATCTTTTTGGATAAATTTATTTAAACTGAGCTTTCTTAAAGGTCAGCTTACTCACTGTTTTTACCCTTCTGCTTACAAATATAAGCTCAATTTAAATTTGTAAAGCTATAAGATTTTTATGACAGCTCTTTATCAACTCATCTATCTTTTTTGTGACAGCGCCTGCCATTTAGAAATAAATAATAATAAAAACTATAAATTTTTATTTTGCAAATAAATATTTTTCTTTTTTATTTTTAAACTTAAGAAATTAAAAGTAAATTTCTTTATTACATGTTGGTACTGTAGGATTCAAAGTTGAGGAATCATCAGTAATACATATTACATACTTACAGAAAATTGAAAAAAAAAACGTGATACAAACCTAATATCATGTTATGCAACTAGTTATACAGTATTGTATTAGAAGCTCTATAGTTAAACTTCCATTAACTTAAGTCTTTTTGTTTCACAATCAATACTGGAGATGTAATTTATAATATTTAATATTTATGTATGTATTTATAGTGTTTTTGACGTTTGACTTTTAACCGAGCTGCTGGAAGGAAGATGGAATAGACAGCTTTAAATAAAGTTAGAAAAAGTTACTTTTTAATATGCTGTTAAGAAACCCATTATTCTTATTATTTGAATATTTTTTTATATAACTATACTCTTGCCGTTTTAACTTCTAACACCCTTCAGCTATATTTTTAAAATTTTGTGTATTCTCAATATGGCTTAAACTTTATTAGTCAAATTATATGAGAGTAACTAGAAGCTACAGCGGCTTTACTAAATTATTCTAAATCAAATTTTTACTGAAATAATTTTTAACACGTTTCAAACTGAAATGAATACAATATATATATATATATATTTGTTTGAATTCATTGAAAACACTAAGTGATGTGTTGCGTATAAAACATAAAATAGTAAAAAACTCTTAAGAAATTGTTGTAAAATTCTGGGTTGATACAATTTCAATATATTCATAAAAAATATGTACGTCATTCTGACTTAAGTCGTTCAAAAATGTTGTAAAACTTTTTTACTTTATAAAAATTTAAAAATATAGTTATTTATAGCTATACGTATCTATAATAAGTAAGTAATAATTTAATAAGGCAATCATTCCAATAAAACATATACATATTAGTTAAATACTTTATTTTCTCAGATCAATTGAGTTTTAATTTGTTTAATAAATCTGTAATAAAATTTCTAGATAATTTAAAAAAGTACGAGTATACACATACTAAGGCGGCAGCCGTATTGCAATAGGATATCAATAGGATAAAATAATGTAAACCTTTTTATGGCTAGGCAGTCAAAGAAACACTTTAGTGTGCTTCAGAAAACACTAAAATATAGCATTTAATGTCGATCGACAAAAAAATGTATACTTATGTCCTATATTCTCTCTTCTGCTTTTTGCAAATTCTCAAATAATAGTATATTCTTTTCTTAATAGTAAATGCATCGTTTTCGTGGCGGGTTTGTAGAATTTGACAGCTAAGCGCAGGGAGACCGGCAACTACAGACCAAGCCACAAAAATCGCTTTTACAAATTAATTAAGCTTCTTCTTATTACTGTTTATTTATTATTAAAAAAAAAAACGAGCCGCACTGCTAAATTTGTCGTGTCATGGCATGGTTATTGCTATGATATGTATCAGTACAAACATTCAAAAAAGCTAATTAAAATAATTTGATTTGCAAACATTTTGTAAGTATTTTTTAATATTTTTACTATATTGTCTCATTAAAACAAATTTTAGTTTACAAATTACTTATAATCAATAGGTAAATAAGTTTGTTGAAAAAGAAGAATTTTCGTGATTCGACGTTTAAACATCACTTTTACTCCTTGGAATATAAGTTTTTTTAATACCTCTGAAATAGAAGTGAATCTTTAACTCCTTTGTCATTAATCAAGGCACACAATATGCTCCTTTTAACGTTTAAAGAAAGGGGTTTTTATTTTTATTTAAAAATATAGTATAGGTTACAAAAAAAAACAATTTTTAACGTAGTTACAAACGTTTGTTATAGAATTGTCTACTTGTTGCTTTTAAAACTATATTCTGCACACCCCGACACTCAATAACAAATTAAGACATCATCTGAGATTCAAAACGAAAGTAATTTATATTTTTCTCATCATGGTTATTAAATTGCAGATCTGGAATAGTTTAATTACATTTAATATAACTATAGAAAGCTGAAAAATAATCGAACCATATGCTTCCTTTACAAACAAATTCAAATCACTCTACATCAGTTGGCATCAACACTATTAAAACACTCAATTAGACAATAAATTGGTAAAAGTACTCGAACAACACTAATGCAAATAATAGTACTAAGCACAACTATACTTATCTCTATCGATATTTCGCTAGCCGAAGGCACTGTAAATATTTGGTCAATTATTTTATAATATTACAGTGCAGACACTGTCTTAATGGAAACAGTTTTTCGCAATACTGAAGAAAGTCACAGTTGCAGCAAACTTTTTTAGCAAATGCAACCGCCCCTGTTATCTAACATTTTACCCAAAGTTATGAAATTGGCAAATTAACCATTAAACGAATTTAGTTAAAGATGTACAATCTGCTTTAATTATTTACGGTGTGTGCCTTTTTCCATTTTTAATTGATTTAGTTACACTTGGTATTATTTCAAAGCATATTCATTAATAATGATACCCCTACTCATTCGATTTCTATATAAAAGCTCTTTGGCAGTGTTGTAGCATCAGTGACGACTAGTTCTCGCATATAGGCATATCTTCACCCATTGGGATAAGTAAGTACCAAAAAAACACCCAAAGTTATTACCAAAATTGTTTTACAGTTCCATGATGTTCAGATTCATTCTTTTTGCATCTTGCGTTGGTAAGTGTGTCATTTGCAAGAAAAAATCTCTTACAAACGTAAACCCCTAGTTGCTTTGGCCTCCACAAAGGTGGTAAAGCAAAAACTGAAGATTGTAGTTGGTGAACCTGAAGCTCAAGGCACCCATGTGGGTGAGGTCAGTGTAGGTCTCAGTGGCGGTCATTCGAAATCCTACTCCTCTGGCGCCGAACTTACCAGCTTGGCCCACACCTCAGCCCTCCAAGCCAAGTCTGCCGTCCAAAACCAAAACACTGCCGGCAGTCAAGCAGCCTTCGGAGCCAAAAGCAGCCTAGCGCAAGCCGCCCTTGGGGTACTTACCTCACTTACCCTAACTTTAGCTCAATGTTCCAATTTCTAGGCCGCCGCTACCGCCCAAGCCGCCCTCGTCGGTAAACAAGTCATCGTTCAAGGCCTCGAACATCAACTCCACGATGCCGAACACCAACTTCAGGCCGAAATCCAGCAATACCAACAGACGGAACACGCAGCCCAAGCAGCGCAAGAAGCCGCTCAGCAAGCCCAACAGCAAGTCGCCGCCTTGACCGCCGCCCTCGCCGCCACTCAGGGAGGCGCTCAGCACGCCGCCAAAGCCGCCGCCGAAGCTGCCGGGGCTGCCGCCGCCCAGCATGCCATGATCCATGAGGCTAAACAGAGGGTGGCCCATTTGAGGGAGGAATTGCACAATGCTCTTGCTGGGTTACAGGAAACTGAAATTTCGGCGCAAAAAGCAGCCGCTGCTGCTCATATTGCGCAAAGTAACGCGGCCGCCGCTGCCAATGACGTGGCTGCAAATGCCGCCCAGACTGAACTCGAGGGACATGGGTATGAACAAGGGGCTGCGGGGCTCGAAGGACATGGATACGAACAAGGTCATAAGTGAGAAGGACTGATTGTCACTCATCTGTAAATAACCATCGTCGTTTTCATGTAATTCTATGTACTATGTGATTAATAAAGAAATTTAACATAAATTTGCATTTCTTTCGAATATGTACTCGTAAATACCTATCTATAACAATAACATAAAGATTCACTTCTTTGAACTAGATTAATTTTGACAGATTAATCAATAAAAATAATGGCAATAAACACAATATAAAAATAAAATAAATGTAATAACGCAGTTTCACATATCACGTGGAACTTGCACAAAATTTTTGACAAAAAAATATGAACAAACTTTGAGAACAAATCATAATTTTATGATTTTTTTATTGAATTACTTTTATACGTATTACAAGAACTTTAATTTTTTTTAGCAAAATTTTAAGCAAAATTTAAACAATTCAAATAAATGCATGATATTATGCAAATTTTGCAATCTGCACGACCTATTTATTAAACATAGCGGAAACGGCGGTTGTAGGTAGCTCTTAAGGCAATTAATAAGAGTGAGATCAGGAACCAAACACACTTCCGAATCTATTATTCTGAAATGTATTACTCTATTACTCCTATAAAAATACATCAATTAAATGAAAGCAATTCGTAAAGAGATATTACACCATTTAATTAGACACCACACTGATTCTCTATAAAAATATATTACACATAATTAGTTATACTTTATAAAACTGTCCATTTACAAATGCAGGAAGCTTCTTCAAACATAGTAAAGAAGAACTGATAATTATTGGCTACATCTTTCAGACACTAAGCACGAAACCTTTCTCTTCTCGTTAAATTATATGCATGTTTGAGTAAAACGTACGTTATTGTTGACTTACATCTTTTTAATGAAAACCACTACCAAAACTAATATCCTCATTGCATGTTTTATTATGTTTAACATCGTCGATAATGGTGGTCAGTGCATGCACTGGACTATGCAAATTTTTAGCTGCCGTTGACAGAATTTCAGACACTCGTTGCAATTGTGCGTATCTCGTAATTTCAGCTTCAAGTACTTTTTCCGCTTGTTTTAACTGATTTTTCAAATCTTGAATTTCACGTTGATGGTTTGCGCCATAGCTGCATTCTAAAAACAAAACAAATGTAAAAAACTTAACACAAAAATCTAATTTCAGACCTTGTGGACCAATTGAGCTTCATTTATTTTTGTAAAAAATTCTGTGACTTGTTGGCGGAGAACAATATTTTCAGCTTGCAGGACCGAACTTTTTGCCAAACTGCTCAATTTTGCTGCCACCAGCAGAAAGTTAACGTTTCCGCAAAGCCCAAAATCTGAAATTAACATATTTGAAAATGTGTGTTACTTTAACATACTTAACTCTTACAAACATGAGCTATGGTTATTGTAAAAACTAGTGAGAACATCCTAGGCGACTGATTATTTAATGATCAAATTCTAAGCATTTATGTGTAAATTTGTCCCTTCTCGATGTCAAAATAAAGACATTTTTCCGCAGTAAAGCTTGTACTATTGTAAGAATAGTGCATCGAGAAAGTGATGAATCATTTTCTTTTTGTTAGATTATTGTATTTGATGTTTTTGATCGGTCGTTAAACTCGATTGAGCAGAAAAATGTTATTTGAAGAGTGGACTTGCTGATTGGCTGTTAAAAATCAATTTATTTTAAACGAACACTAATTGTACTATCGAGTAATAAGTGTAATGGGTACGAGAAAAATAATACAAGAAATAAATGAAATGGTTGTTAGCGATTTGCACGCTATTTGTGTTAATAGTTTCCTATAACACTTTTCAATATTTCTATATAACTCCTAGAAGAAAGAAAGCGACCCTACAAATCGGTTCAATTTAAAATAATATATGTATTTAAGCACTTTTTGAAAAAGTTATATTTTTTTATATGTCCTGTGATACTTAATTGTTATTTAATCACGTCTCCATGCTTGTCATGGCAACCATAACAGCCTAGTTTGTTAAAAGTCTCAACACACAAAAGGCTACTTGTGTCAAGTTTGTTATTATTTGGCATTACAACTTTAAATAATTTTACCAAAATCTTGACATCTCGGCTTCGTCTCGATTTTACAAACTTCAATCTTGTCTATTATTTGCTTCATATCGGTCTTATGACGTTAATAACTATTAAAAAAATAGTAAAATGAATAGCAAAAATTTGGAACCATGTTTATGAACTGCTAAACAATTTACTACGCTAAAAAAATTATAATAGAAAACACATACAAATCCATTTATTGAAATTCTTTTAATCATTTTTAATTTATTATAATGGAATAGTATATAAATGAACATAAATCTTTAAATAATAAGTAGGTAACTTTTTTTTTAATTTTGTATTTTATTTTGGCGGCAGTATCATGCAACAATATCAAAAAAAGTTTATAGTAAAATATAATTTGTAAAACTTATCATATCATAATTGAGAATTCATAGAATTTAAGTAATCTCTGCTTAAAATATAACAAAAATCAATTAACTATTTTCAACTTTTTGCAATGGTGAACACATAAATTTGGCATTTCTTGAATAAACTTTTCTTCATTTCCGGCCAATCAAACGAATCTTAAAAACCCATTACATCACCTAAAACTCCATGGTCTGCTTGTCCGAAATCAAATGAATACAATTAAAAATCAGCAATTAAGAAATCTGATGAATTCATATACAACATGCAACATTTTTAGCATTTTTTCCAGATCCTTTCAACAAGATTCTTAAAATTATTATTGCAGAAACACCCTCGACTAATTTTCCAGTGCATTATTTCTATGCATTGAAATCCAATTAGAATGTAAATTAATACCGACCATCTATTATAACCATCACTGGCATGCTGGATGTAATTACGCCACTCGTATAAAAATGAGTGGTACCATAACAAAAACAACAGTATCTCCTCAGCTTTTAGCCCAACACCTCCTCCAGCTCCAGTAAGACTACAAAATAACATAGATTTTTGATATACAAAATATTAATGTCTTTTCAGGCAATCATGTCTAGAGTTTTTGTTGTCATGGTCGCCATCTTAGGTAAGTTCACTCTTTTCCTCCTCTTCTTGACACTCATCGAAATTTCTTTCGAAGCGACCGCTTCTTCCAAACAACAAAAACTGAGCACGATTGCAGACCCTCAAGCCCAATCAACCGCCCAAATCGCAGCCATCGAATTCGAAGGAGACTATTCCGCCCACGGGGGCAAGAAATACTCCTCCAGTGCTGAGCTTACTAGCCTTGCTCACTCTTCGGCCCAGCAAGCCAAAACGGCTGTCCGTAATCAACAAACTGCCGGACTGCAAGCCGCCCTCGGGGCCCAAACCGGTTACGCCCGCGCCGCTCTCGAGGCCGCCGCCGCGGCTCAAGTGGCCCTCGTAGCCAAACAAGTTATCGTGCAGAATATCGAAAAGGACATCGAACACGCCGCCCACCAGTTACAAGCCGAAGAAGCGCAGTATCAGCAGTCATTACAAGCCGCCAACGCCGCCCAAAACGCCGCTCAGCAGAGCCAACAACAGTTAAGCGCCACCACTGCCGCTCTCGCAGCCGTGCAACAAGCCGTAGCACAGACTGAACGCGCTGCTGCCGCCGCCTCCTCTGCAGCTGCCAGTCAGCATCAGATGATTCAAGACGCGCAGCAGAGGTTAGCGAGACTTCATGAGAAATTGCATGCAGCGTTGGGAGGATTGGAGGAGACTAAAATTTCGGCTCAGAAGGCGACCGCGGCGGCTCAGATTGCTCAAAGCAATGCAGCGGCCTCGGCGCAGTTGGCAGTGGTGAACAGCGCGAGTAATCAGATAGACGAGCATGGTGCTCATGAATATCATCATTGATTTTGAGGTGCATTGTGTATCATCCATTCTGTAAATAATCATTTTAGAAGAAATACATCATGTTTTAGAATATTCTTGTTTTATTTCATTTATACATTTATGCATACGTTGTTTTTGTCATAAATTGTCATCAAACCAATTTTGTTGAGTGTGATCAAGACATTGATATTTTTAAATTGAGAAAACTTAATTTTTTTGCATGTCTTTTTTGCTTTCTAGTCGCATGATTAATCTATTAATACGTAAGAAAATCTCATTATTAGCGATGAGTGGCAAAAGAATGCAAATTGATGTAAACGAAGCTCAATTTCGTTCCGAATCGTTGACTTTCTTTAATGGATTAAACGATTTTATCGCGTGCTTACTAATTTTGAGTAGTCAAAAAGGTACCAGAGCGAAATGGAATGTTACGGATAATAATTTATCGAAATCACATAAAAACCAAACTTCCTTTACCTACTAAAAATGTTCCCAAATCAAACAAAAATTTTCAAAAACAACTTTTATTTACTAGATAATAGGTATATAAATGAGATAAACTACAAATACAAGTCTTGATCTCTTGACCCCGTTAGTGAAACTTTCCAGCCCCCCCATGTCCATGTCCCTTAGCACCCAACGCCACAGCATTAGCCGCAGCTGCAGCATTAGCCTGAGCCGTATGAGCAGCCGCTGCCGCTTTCTGAGCGGCGGCTTCAGTATCTTGCAAGTCGGCGATAGCAGCCTCCAATTGCTGAGTCAACTGAGCAATTCTCGTTTTAGCATCGGTCACCATAGCGTGTTGAGAGGCTGCAGAACTGGAAGCTCCTGCTGCAGCTTGACTGGTGTGAGCGGCAGTGGCTTGAGCCGCGGCGAGCGCTGCACTCAGAGTGTTGACTTGTTGCTGAGCCTGCTGATTGGCCTCTTGGGAAGCTTGAGCAGTTTGTTGGGCGCTGTTGTATTGAGCGATTTCGGCCTGGAGCTGCTGCTGAGCTGCTTGAACTTGGTGGTGCAATTCTTGAACCAAGACTTGCTTGCCGACGAGAGCAGCTTGAGCGGTGGTTGCAGCGCCTTGAGCCGCTTGAGCTAGAGTACTTTTGATGCCATAGGCGGCTTGGTTGCCTGCAGTGATTTGGTTTTGAGCCGCGGAGTTGGCTTGAAGGGCGGAAGTGTGGGCTAGGCTGGTGAGTTCAGCGCCAGTGGCGTAGCCATGGCCGGAATAAGAGCCAGAGTGGCCGAAACCTCCAGAGGCACCTCCATAATGATGGTAGGAACCTTCCGCTGATGAGTCTTCGTGAGAAGGGTGCGAAGAAGTGACAGCGACTAAGAAGCTCGTTATTAGATGTTGTTTTTTTTTGAAAAAAAAAATAAAATAACTTACGTGCACAAGCAGCAATGGCGATGAAACGGAACATTGTATCTTGTGTATCGGTCTCTATGATGTAAGAATAAATTCAATTTAAAAAATATTGAAATAAGCGTAACTTACCTGAATATTTTTGGAGGTACTTGCTTGTTTGAGGTCTGGTTGACACTGTCTACACTTTTACGACTGCGATTATTTATAGTAAAATTGGAAATAAGAGTCTAGGGTTGAAAAAAGAATTAATCATGAACTTATTGTCACGCTTCAAGTTATATTTTACAGACATTCTATATGACCGAGGAACTTTCTTTTTTTTATTACCTTTAAGTGTTTAATTGAACTGATTTTACGGTATTTTATTATTTTTACAACCATCACGTTTTATAAAAAGACACATAAGTGTAGCTAAACTGCAGTCCCGCTCGTTGAAATCGTGACTCTGTGCACTATCGGTTCTTGGTCTTTTTGGATTTTTTTCGGAACTTTCTCTTGTTAAATGTGGGCCGGGTAATTAAAAGTTTTAAGAAAAATTTTATCAAAAACGACATAAAATTAATCTTAAAAACATAAAAATATTTTCTCGTTTAATTTTCAATTTATATATTAATATACTCATGTGTTCATACTTTTTTAAACAAATTTACAAATAATTTTTATAAACACATGAAAAAGATGAACAGGAACGGTAAATCCAATTGAAAATAATGAAAATTTTTCAAGTAAAATTACTCGGACACATCTTAGCTGAAGAATTCCTTACTTTGTTACAAAAAAAAAAGAATATTTAAATACTACAGTTTGCTCGCAATTTGATTATTTCTTGGCTAAATTTGCTAATTGTAGGGTAAACGACGGTTCGAAAGCATACAATCATGATGTAGGTACATACTACATACTACATACTACTCTTTTTTGCATAAGTACATAGTAAAGTGTGCGATAATTTACAAATGAGTCAAGTATTGTAATGTAAAATCGCATGAGTTAGATTTTTAACAAAGCTCTAATGATGATACCTAAGAATCCGAAGCTTTTTATTACCCAAATTTTATGTGTTAGGTATGTTGTATGTATGATAACATCATTATCATATAATCTTGTAGGTATGTACATACCAGGTGAATAAAAAGTATGAAACCAAACGTTTATTGCTTAAAGTATACTTATTTTTTGAAAAAACTAATTGAAGAATGATAAAGTACCTACTATAGAAATGTGATAATAATGTGATATAATTTAAAATTATAAGTTGTAATTGAGATGATTAAAAACATAGAACACATTATTTATATTGTCAATTTATGTACAGTTGTAGACAAAATACTTTGGTCGTCAATGTCACTTGAATGACATTAAATTCTAAAGCATGCTTTAGGACTGTTAACCTTATTTTTAGCTACTGTCAATCATAGTTGACAAGTTGTACATATTTTTGATAGAAAGGTATAATAGCTGTCATTAATTTGAAATTGTCATTCATTTTAACGTTAAAGCTTGAATTACATTAAAGTGTCATAAAAGTGACGACCAAAGTATTTTGTCTCCAACTGTAATGAAGATTCGACGAATTTGTTCTTTGGGCTAGCAGATTCGAAAATAGAATTAAAGTTTGAAAAAAAAGTGTTCATTAATATTAAATAAGTTTGTTTAGACTAAAATGTGTATTTCTCACTAATAAATTCATTATAATAAAAAAATACAATTTAGTAACAAGCAAGACAACATTCTTCTCTGTGTTTTTGAATTTGGCGCGTTTTTATTGATTCAACTGATTACTGCGCCTCTGGTGAGTCAGGTGTTCATTAGATTTGAATTAGGGGTCGTTTTTTTACATAGGAGGCTTATGGCCGTTTCCGATCTTTTTCTCTCTGATCTGTGATTAATAGTCATAAACTGCAGTTTTTCAGAAACAATTATCATTTGTTCTATCAAGAGACGGCATAAATATGATTCTAGTTTATCTATCTTAAGGCTGTCCGGGAGTGAACGGGCAAGTCGGTTTTCAGTACTTATTATTCTTTTTCAAAAGCAACCAGCAATACACCCTAGGCAGGGTCCAAACTCAGTCTTTACCTGCGTTCAGGGGTTGGGTTAGTAAGTGTAATAAATTGTAATAAAAGTAAAAGATCAGTTCGCTAATATTTTTATGCTTTGAGTTTGTGGAAGTTGCTCCAGAAATTTCTTAGAAAGCTTGTTGTTGTTGTTTGTTGTTTTGACTTTTGGATCTTAAAAGAAAATCTAATCATAATTATTCCTATCCACTTGATAGGTTGTACATATTTACTAATTAGAAAGCTCACAGGTTCCATTTTCAATGGAAATTAAATTTTTGTATGGAGTAACAAGACATAATTCCATAAATTAAAACTTTTACAATCGGAAAAATTACAAACTTATGCAATTGTGGACTCAAAATTTTAGACATCAAGATATGTCAGTTCAAAAAATATCAACGTAAGCCACGCTTTAGTGTCATTAGGATTGACGTTTGGATCTAAAACTTGAAAGATTTAGTTGAAATTTATTTTTGGCGTCGATTTCCTAAAATAAAGCCAGCAGTTGCAGTACGTTTTTTATATAATTATTATTTTTTTATTTTGAATTCTTGTCACTTTTATTCAGCTGTCAGCATAAAAACTACAAAAATAAAAAAAAAGTTGCACATAAAGTCAGTTTTACATTTTAAGTCAACCAAATGACAAATCGTCCAAAATTCCGTGTCCGTACATCTAAATATCAAATTTACAATGCGCACTATAAAATTCATATTCTTTGGAGGGGCATTTATGATTTTTTTTAGTTTAAAAGTATCCTTGTTTTCCATTACAATTTTTTGACATTGACCACATTTATGGGTACCACTAACTAACATTTACAGTTATGTTTTATAAAAAAAAGATTGTGATAGGCCGAATCATTTTTTATGAAGAACAACGATAAATTAAAAAATAAAAACGATCTCTTCCATATTTTTTTTTTCATAGATGCCCCGTTAAAAAATTATTTGTTTGAGACTTGGGACTTCTGGCGAACATTTGTTTAAAAGTAATATTTTTTTTGTATACGCTCTCGAAACAAGCTGAGTCTTTGCTGGACCCAATAAAATAGTATGAAAATGGTTATATTAGGTACTCAATACCCAAAATATAGTTATTCAGAACGGATAAGTCAATTTAGTTACTATCGTGGCGAAATTTGTTTAATTAATAATAGGTGCAAATTTGTTGTACAATAAATTATTTTGTCTGATTATTGTTGCTATTTATTAAAACTCTCATAGATAATAAATAATCTTAGATCCCCACAAGACACACATTTTTTTCGAAAAAAAATGGTCAGGTCTACTAAACTCGGGACATTCGATAGAAGTACAGTTCCAACAAAATTCACTTGTTTTTTCATTTCACGTCAAATGTTTCTGCTTCTAGTTTTCTAATAATAATAACTGAAAATTATTATGCTAATTACATGATAAAGATGACCATAATCCGTTATTTGCTTGGGTTGGTACAAGGGCAGGTATAGACCCTCGATCCTGACAGCGCCTCTAGTGGTAAAAGCAATGAACTAGAATGCATTTTTGGGCAAAATATATTTATTAATAATTTAAAAACAACAGTGTTTTATTACATGGTGTTTGTTGAATTTGTTAAGAATTAATATTTTGTAATAAATACCAAAACCCTAAAACGAATCTTTAGGTCTACCGTTAAATATCGTGACTTTTACATCAATCACAATATCTCAAAAACTAAAGACTTTTTTAAAAAAAGGCCAACGCATCGGCCTATAGAATATTCTTTTAAATTATCTTACAAAAACCGAAATTAATTACTTGAAAAATGACTGAGTAAAGTTGTTTTCAAGTTCACCATTTATGCATTTTTGTTCTTTTTTTAAAAGCATTGAATTTTTAAAAAAAATCTCAACGTATCGGCCTGTAGATTTAAAAAATCTTTATTTTGATGTATAATACATGAAATTCTGTTGCATATTAAGAGAGTAATCTTGTTTTCAATATACTAACGTCTCGAATCGTTGGTCGCGGACACCCTTAATCAATAACTAACTAAAATTAAATGTCGTAATTTTTGAAAATTTTTGAAGGGGTGAACAAACTAGAGAAGATTATCTAATTTTTCAAAATTTGTGAGTGAGTTCGTGTCGGAATATGTATTATTATTGATTGCATCTTACAGGCGCAGGCCTCGTAAAATTATGTGAAAGACCCTGTATTTTTGAATCATTGAATTTCATATGCAAGAAAATTTGGAAGCTCATCGAAACTATAGTGCATTGGTAACACACAATTTTTTTTGCAGTTTATAGGAAGTCAGAAAGTTTTACTACCCAATTTCAAAAATAAAAAATAAATAAATGTTTTGGTATTGTTGAGTTTTTATTCTTTTTCAAGCATTTAGAACAGGCAACCAAGAATACACTTTAGGCGTTTGCGCACTGAAAACCCCGACTTGGTTAGGGACAAAAATGTCAAATTAGTAACTAAACGGCTTATGAGAGTAGTTTTAGTGGTGTTGCTTATCAAAATCGAAGAAATGGTCGTAATGGAGGGTTCTTTAAGTAAATGGACGAACGTGATGAAGGGTTGGCAGTATAGATGGTTCGTACTCGATGACAACTCCGGCCTTTTAACATATTACACAGTGAGTAATCCACCTGTCATTTTTTCAACCGTCAACATAACCACGAAAAGCCGCTCCTGGCATTTACCGAGTGTCTTCCGTTTGTAAACAAGTTAGGTGGGTGTAACTCCAGGTCTCCAATTAACTGGATTGTTGCTCAGTTTACGGTCATTTCCACTAATAAAAATAGCATTAACAAAAAGACGAACAACTGCGCTGTTACGGTAATTGCCTCTTTGAGTGTTGTTCCTCTGATAAAGCAACGCGAGTTCGTCTGCACCCGGGGCGTTATTATCAAAGTGCACTCCAAATCCAGTTATGATAATCACCTTACTCTCAGTCCTTTGAAATGAAGACGAAGACCTGGTGTAGTGTTTAAATCAGCAAGAGTAAATGGGACGTAATTAGTATAACTTGTTCAATTAAAACCATTATTAAAGTTAGCATTATTTTTATAAAGGTAAAAAGGGCGATCATTTATCAAATTCCCATACAATGGGCATCAAAAACAATCATTGACATTTCTCTTGTTTCCCTATTGCTCATTGTATATTAATTATTTAAAATAAAGTCTACATGTTTTATATATAGTTAATTAGMTAAATCAACTTAATTTCGTTATCTAATCATCCTCGCTGTAAAATGTCTTAAGTCCTCAATTAAGAAATTAATTCAGGCTCAACATAACATAATGGTCAATTTTGTTGAATGGTATTCATACGATGTGGGTGAAATTTGTTAAGTTTGGAGATGTCAAAACCCACTTAAAATTTGATCACAGTTTATTACGTAAATAGTGCAATAAGGATTTAATTTTATTTATAAACAACTAATAGAAATCGCATTAATAGTTGACAACAAATTTAAAACATACTAAGATGAAAAAATTAAAAAGGAATTGTCCAGTGAAGCTGGAACAACACTGGCGTGGTATGCTTATAACTTACTTCTACTGTTCTACTGGGACATTTTTTTAACTCTGAACAGAGCAGTTTAAAAAAGCACAGATCATTACATTGTTGTCATTCAATGATAGTCTCAGTAGCGTGTCTACAATTTAAGAGCAACGATATAAAATTGGTTCATATTTAAATGAAGATGATGACAAGAGAAACAGAAAAATTATATGGTGTGGCAGATTTTTTAAAACAAATTTAATTCTTTTCAACTTTGTCCTTACACTTTTTTTGTATCTTTAATAATGAAGTATTCACAGAAAGTCAAAAATTGTATAAGGTAAAGCAAAAATTTCTGTTAGAAAACAGTTGTGCTTTTTTAATTATTGTTTTTAGCAAAATTTTTACTATAATTTAATTTTTTACTGTGAAGCTTGTAATTTTTCTGTTTGTTTTGCATCATCTTTATTTAAATAAAGCAATTTTTTATTTCGTTATACTTTTAAATTGTAGGCACGCTACTGATACTATCATTGAATAACAGCAGTGAATTGATCTGTGTTTTTTAAACTGAACATAGAGTTCAGTTAAAAAATGTCCCTGTATGTATATTTAATAAAAGGCATAACAGTATAGACTTCTCAGGATTAGTAACAACGAAGTGTTCGATTATATGGTAGAATTGTACCTCCATATGTCTTGGATAAAATAAAATAAAATTGTTTATTTATTTATTTTTTTTATTTTTAGACAATATTACCTTTACAAAGTGTTTTATAAGGTACAGTCGCAACCCAAATTGACATATTTTTTATTTAACTTAAATTTAGTTATATCAAAGGCTACTAGGACTAAAAATTTCAAGAATTAAACCACCCCTAACTGAAAAACAAATAGACAAAACAAATTATTGACCCTTATACACGCTGATTTTTTCTCTTTCCGAAAACGTTTTAAAAAGTAGGAGGTGCCATTTAAAATTTTAAAGTAGGGGTGGCTAGCGACTAGGGGATGCAATTTAAAATGTAACTAATGTTGGTTTTCAACTTCCCCCTCGCGATCCTAATTGACCTGTTGTCCTGGCTCCTTTTGAAATGAAAGGCCTGTATAATTTGAAATTCGTGCCATAATTTCAGCGATAATAGAAAGTCAAATGACATTTTTAAAATATTTTTGATTTTTTAAGACAAAAAAATCAGTCACAAAGGGTAAATTGCAAATTTATTTGAAATATTCCTTTTCTTTTGAGAGGAGGTTTTTCTTCTTTTGGATACATCGGTGAAATTTTAAGTGTCGATTAAGTGTCCATGGACAAATAAAACACAATTTTAAATTTCTTTGATCTTGAGCGGGAAAATCCAACTCGAATGAACTTTACACACTGTAAATACCTTTTTAGACATGTACATTTAGCAATGGACAACATAGCTTTATCCCTATTACGATATTTTCTTTTTCTTGTGGTAGAATTGTTTAAACATATTGTATACGAGGATGGATGACTATAAATACTGGCGGATGTAAAAATTTAAATTTCGTTGACAATGACATTGTAGGTATAGTTGAATATACAATGTAAAATATGTTCTACCGGGTGTCCGGTCTCAATCGCGAACATAGGGATTTAACATGGTATTGTTTATTTTTGCTGATTCCTGCTCGCCAATGCAACTAAGATACAAGTAAGATGATACCTATCGAAAGATAAAGTTATTTCACGTCAAATGATTCTAAAAATAAGAATAAAAATGGCATTTTTACTTTAAAACACAATTTTCAAATTTATCAAGACGTGAAATAAGTATATGAGGTACTTGTCAAAAACGTCAAAGTTTTTTTTTACAATATTGTTGGAGTTAAATAACAATGAATAATTATTCAATGCAAAAGGAGCTTTTATGATGGTCAAAACGTGTTTGATTTTCTTTATTACTTAATACTTCTTCTTGTTTTTAATAATAACCAATTAAATTCTTGATTACTTATTTTATTATCAAAAAAATTGGCAAAATACTTAAAAATCGCATTCAACATTATTTCTCTATGTTCGAGTTTGAGGCCTGACACCCGCTATATAATAGTGTTCAAAAATAATATCCTCGTGGCATAACAAACAGTAACCATGTACTGTACCATGTCTTTGAAATTTGGGTAATTGACCCACCCTGTACCCATGTTTTGAATAAAATAAAGCTTTCAAGCTGCACATTTTTGTTGCAATTTTCTTCAATTAAAGCAAAATATTAATATTTAATATGTAATAATCTCTATGTATCTCCCGATGTACCTTTATTATAATCACTACTTTTATTAGTTGCAAAAATTAGAAATTATTTAGAAGAAATAAATAACCTAAGTAGTATAAGAAGTCATTCAAACTTACAAGTTTTACATTATCGTTTTTATTTATTAATTAACAGAATCACTGTGTTTTATTTTTTCTTTTGCTTGGTCATGTAGTTTGTCTGATAAAATTGCCAGAACATGTAAAACACTAATAGAACATTAGGAACATAAATCAGCAATAGTTGTTTGGGCACTTTACATTCGGGATGCAGACTTTGCAAAGAATGGGCTATAATAACGCAGAACTGAACCATTTGAAAAATCGTCAATCTGGGTTTCCATTTGGCCATCTTTTTTTGCCATTTCGGTCCAAAACTAGCCAAAAGGTAATAAGTGTACATGAAAACATGTATTATCGAGTTGATCATTATCGGAAAAGTGCTCATGCCACCTCCGACGAATTTGGTACCTATCCAAGTTAGGAAGAAAGTGGAAGCGTGGTGATACACGTGTAGTTTAGACACTTGATTGAATTTCTTTCGTAAGATAAATAACACTGTTTCAATCATTTCAATTCCTTTGAGGATGAATGTGAAATAGCACCAATGGAGCATATTTACTGCTTGAGGGTTGTTGGAGTAGTCGACGGGTTGGCAGCCCCAAGAGTAATTGGTAGTCCATCCAGATGTCGCAACCTTTGTTGAATAATTAAGAATTAATAAAAATATTACATTATTTTAGTTAATACCTACTCCGTAAATTAGGATTAGGCAAGATACTATTTGGAAAATGTTGTAATAATAAATAACATTTTTGAGCTCGTATGGTTTGCGATTTTTCATGTAGGCCGGTAAAAATATGTAAATACTGGACAGATATAAGGCAATGATGCTGAGTACCATGGCAGGGCTCGAAAAACCGATCCAATTTTTGACCCGAGGATCTACAAAAATATTCAAATTTTTTTGTTTACTTTCTTTAAGACTTACCACTCAGGTCGTTCATCACATAATCATACTTTTCTGCCAAATAACCTGCCATTTTTCTGGAAGGATTTGTAAAAACTAAAGTTGTTTACCCTTTAAACCTTTATATAAAGACCACGAAGAACAGAAATGACGCTGACGTAGAAATCTTTTGTTTGTAAATGAAGACGGTAGAGTATGCATAGGTGTATAATAGTCGTCCTTTTTTTAGCGTTTTGTATACGTAAATTTAATTATTTAATAATCCACATGTGAATGAATTATGGATTAGTCAAATACTTTGAATGGAAACTGTGACACTGCAAATTTTGTTTGCATTCTACACTTTTTCTTATTAATATCAAATAGCATTTAACCGACTCACTTTATGGCTTATTGCAATATCAAAAAATTATTGATTTGATACTCATAATAGTGCTTTTATTGTAAGTTTGTTCAATACCAACATTCCCATATCCATTTTTGAACTGATCTAATTATTTGCAATAAACAGAACCTTATCAAAGACGGTTTTGTGGGTAGAATTAATTATAATTTCAGATTGTTACTCTGTATTATTTTATACTAAGATGCACTTACTTGTACCATAATAATCGCATATTAAATTTTAAATCAAATCAAAAATTTAAAACCTATAATTTCCTTGATGGTTATGGGTTGAAGAACAGAATTTTTAAATTTTACACGAGTTAGTGTACCTATTTATATTGTTAGCAAAAGAACGTTTTTTTTTATCCAGCATCTTGCATAAGAAAATTAAATGTCAAATGCAGAGGTAATTAAAAGACTACAAATAGCATATTAAATTTTAAGTTGTTAGCCAACTAAGCTTTTAAAATTTCACCAAGCAGTCTTTATTTACACATAAAAATACTTTTTGTTATTATTACAACTGCGCAAATTAGTTTATTACAAAAATATCCTTTGGATGTCTCTGTAAACAAAAGCAAAAGATGTAATAACTGTTATCATTGTGAGTTAATTAAACAACCCTGTGACTCGTTGTTTTATTTCAATTTTATATTTACATAGATATATTTTTATCCGTTGTTTGTCAACATATTTAAAATAGTTGATGCATTTTAAACGTTAATCTACAGCGAATGTCAGAAATTTTCCGAATTAGAGTGCTGTATTGATCTCTCACGTAACTTTTTTCCAGTTCAATTTTCAAGAGAAAATATTATTTTAAAAGAAACTACAAAAAAATGAGCGATGGGGGCACATTTTTAAAAATTTAAATTCATAGTTTGTTTTCGTATAATAAATATAATAATAATTATTGTGCTTCAAAACACTTTTGTTTTAAATTGTCCGGTAAATTGAGTTTTCCGGCCCCATTTTGATTCCGGGAACTGAATTATTACGGTATCAGAGCCGGTAAATGTAACCAAGGAACACTTACCGGATTGTTAATTTTAACAGATTAATCCTTGAAGAGACAGGAAAAGGATTTGTAAACGAATACAACTAATTTTTATGCTATCAATTTTATTTGCTTTAAGTAACAATTGAAATCACACAAATCATTCATTTGCCAATTTAATCTCTTCTCATGCCTGAAGCTTTTAAACACCGATCAATCCCACATTTTACGACCACTACTTAAATACCAATTAGAGCGAAAAACTCTGCAATAAACCTGACTTATTTACCTACCAGTCCAAAGAAAAAATGATGCGTGGCGCCCGCCGAGGCTGTGTCCGACTCAAAGGTGCCGTTATCGGTATAGACGACGAGGATGACAGTACCTTCACCATCACAGTCGATCACAAAACGTTTCATTTCCAAGCACGAGATGCTGAAGAAAGAGAAAAATGGGTGCGGGCCCTCGAAGACACGATATTCAGACACGGCAATCGCGTAAGTGTAAAATTGGATTTTTTTGTGAAATCAAATCGGTCTTTAGACTTTGTGGGACAATCATCGGCCACCCCCAACCATTAAAGACTTTGATAATAAAGTGTCAGAAGCAGATGCATATCTACAGTTAATGATTGATCAAACTAAGGTAAGTTTTGGGTTTTTTAAGTAGAAAAAATGTAAGTTTAGAAAAAATGCAGAATCTTGAAGAAAGGATCAAGTCAATGACGGACGGCGATGATAAAGTCAAGTGCCAAGTGATCCTAGAACATGCAAATGTGAGTTGGAGACAAATTTTATTCAACTATTTTAATTTTTTCATCTGCAGGCGATGCTCGACAATATCAAACACTCAATAGTACTCCTCCAAATAGCAAAGGTACTCATCTTTCTTTTGTTAATCTTGGTACTAATTTTGTTTATTAGAACACAGCACATCCTATTAACGGTATTTATCAACCAAGGCCAGGTACTTCCACAACTAACATATCCACAAATATGGGAGGTTTGTTTCTACTTCATTTAACTAAAACAAATTAACTATGTTTTTATTAGAAGTGAATAACGTGGCTGGTACTGTCGTCCAACAAGGCATCGAACTGGGTTCAGAGTGCATCGAAAGTGGAAGAAGGCACAGCCGGACCTTGGGTAAGTAATAATTTTTGACGACTAATAACTATTTTACGCATCACTTAACCGTTTAATTGCCATAATTGGGTCAATTGTGTAAAGACGAAAACATTGACTAATAAGGTTACGCAAGGATCATTAAACGGGCCTCTTCTTTTAACACAAATTATTTTCCTTGATAGAATTGGTGCATCCAAGTGCGGCGGCAAGTCTTGCCGTTCCCCCCATGTCCTACTCGAGTTCAGAGGGTGAGGAAGACTTCTATGACGCCAACGATTCACCCTTCACGCCAGGAAGTCAGCAGACGCCCACGTGAGTATTTCTTTGCATGATTTTTAAAAAAATCCATAGTTTATACGCCGCTATGAGCTCGAATAATCTCAAGGCTGTAACGTCGGGAATTAAAATTTACGGCCCCGTCGTTGTCGTGTAGTAAAGTTTTTATTGGTGAAGAAAACAGGTGATAATGGGATAATCATTTTAATTAATAACGTCATTCGACTTATGAAGTATTAGATTTTTAGTGAAGTTTTGGAAAAGTCGGACTAATGAAATAAAAGAAGTTTAACGAACTGAAAGTTTGTTTCTTGTCATAATTATTATAACATTGCTTTCGTGTTTTAACAGTGCAATATGACTGAATCTCGGCCGCCTTCATTTTGAATCCCTCGTTTCTGACTAACGACAAGAAAATTAAGTTGGCATGGAATGCGCAATTAAAAATCACAAACACGAGATAAGATGACAGGGAGAACTTTATAAAAGGGAAAATGCCGGGCCAAAAGAACACCGCAGAAACTCATCTTACTTTCATTACGTTGTACAGTGGTGTTAAAGCGAATTTTGCGTGTTTAGGATGAATGAACTACAGGGACAACATTGATTTATTTAATCACGTCCTTGTTGAATGTCAGGGATTATGATAATTATACGAATAGTTGTACTGTCGGATTTGTATAAACATAATAACAATAACTGTGTTATAATTTTTCAAATCTTTCAAATTTTGTTTGGCCTTACTTTTCATTAACTACATAAATTGAAATGAGGAAGCAGAATCCATTTTTGGGAAAAACAATTCAGAATAGAGACTTTTTTGAAATTAAATCAAAAATTATTTTGTAAAGCAAGGAATGGAAATTTAGTTTTTCGCCAAATTCACATTAATCAGTTTTAAACATAAATCTATTAAAGTAACAAAGGGGACAATAATTTAAGCAATATTTCTTGTATTGACGTTAAAGCTAATTAGCATATAAAAGACCACCAAGCCGGAAAATAGAAGTACGTTAGAATTAAAGGAACCAAGTCCATCATGCACTGTAGTTAATTCCATATGATGACAATAAGTGGGCTGTACTGCTGTACATCATTTGAAAATGCCGATAAAATAATTTAAATTAAACACTATTGAACATTATTGAATCAACAAGAGCATCTAGAAGTCAGTTGTTAATTGCATATTATGTATTGCTGCTAATCAACTTTGAAATCGGCTTTCTCAAAAATACCTCTATGGACTCTGAGCTCCCAATATGTACTTATTTTAATTAGAGAATGCGAAAAACGTAATTGTTTTTATTATTTTACAAAGCAGCATCAGGCAAAAAAATCAGTCTTTAATTCTTGACATTTAGCTATTTAAAAAATTTCAACTGTGAACTCTTGGACTTTGTACCTTTTATTTCTTTTTCGATATGGCAGTGTAATCTTATCGATGTATTAATTATTTTATCAAAGCATTGATTTTATTTTTGAACGTCTCAATATTGTACAGACCACAAATGTTAAGTAATATGTAATCATAATCCTCTTTATAACAATTTTGTAGGGTACTAACGTTAATTAATTTTGATTGTGTCCAATTTGCGTGTTTCCTTGTAAATTTATAAAATTCATATAATAATCAAAAACTTACAAAATGTTGAAATTTAAAATCTTATAGTTTTATTATTTACACCTTTCAAAAAATATGAAACTATGAACCAATTTCACTATCGCACATACTCGTAATTATAAATAAAAATAAAAGCAAATTTTGACTGTTTGTTGTAGAGATTTTTTTTATTTTCTTGCAGCTTAACAGCGAGAAAAAGAAAATGTATTGGCAGTAAAAATCTGTCAACGGGCGATTTAGCCTTATTTTATTAATTTATAATAAATGTAATAACACTAATGCAGTTTTAAAATTTTTACAACATAAATAATTAACTCTGGATTGTAATTATCCTGTGATTTTATTTAACTATGTAATTTTGTATTTAATACATGTAATTTCTTTTGCGTTTGAATGCAGAATACAAATTCTTTTGTTCACGACGTCGAGCTATAATTTAATTTACTCTCCAAATTTCATGACGAGTTACGTATGTATCCATTTTTTGCTGGCACAGTTGCAAAAAACAACATTCTATTGACCGCCCCCGACAATAATCAAATGCCTTTTCATATTCGCCGCACTATTTCATCTCTCTCGTTTGCGCACACGTAACGCCGCGACGCCGTTATCCCGAGCGTCTCTAACCCCCAAGATTCCCATCGTGTCTTTTTGTTTGCAATAATCGTCAACCATCACCTCATGTGATCTCAAGTATAATCCTCGTGCCGTAATAAACCGTTGACAATAACAACAATGCACAAATCCGTATCCCTAAACCTCGGATCGATGAAACGGGTCTATTGATTTTCGTCCAAGACTGACATCAACATTTGTGTTTACTCATAAAATAATTGTCAATTTACACGAAAACACCGAACCGAAGCCTTATTTTCATATTTACGCCCAACGAATTTTTTACGTGTAGTTTTAAGAAAATAACACCAAAATGATCCGGCTTTTGAACAGTCGGTTGGCGTTCAGACGTAGGAGGTAAATTAGTTTAAATTGACGTTTGTCAAATTGTAGCGATTGATGATGTGTTTTTTCAGTAGTTTGAGATCTTTTGATGATGAGACCCAAGCGGCGTTGTCTATTAGCAATAAACAAACCATTCAGTCGAATAACTCGAGGACGCCGTCCGTAAGACAGGATAGCACTACTTTATCAACGACCACCGGCAATCTCGACTATGATGGTAAGAATGTCACTGTAAAAGTGTCATTTAACATCGTACTAAATTTGCTGTAAACCATTCTAAAATTTGTGTTTTGTAGCCCTATATGAGGAGGATGATGACCAAGACGTAGAGATGGAAAGTCACGGTTCTGTCATTCGTCATCTTTTGTCCCAAGTGAAAATCGGAATGGACCTGACGAAAGTGGTCCTTCCCACATTCATCCTAGAAAGGCGTTCGTTGTTAGAAATGTATGCTGATTATTTTGCTCATCCCGACTTGTTTGTAAAGTAAGTGACTCTTTCTTCGTTGAATCGAAGGAAAATTTTTATTTATTGTAGTATAGCGGAACTGAAAGATCCCAAAGATCGGATGGTACAGGTGGTCAAATGGTACTTATCGTCGTACCATGCCGGACGGAAAAGTACCGTGGCTCGAAAACCCTACAATCCGATTTTGGGCGAGGTATTCAAGTGTCACTGGGAGATCCCAGGTGATACAGAAGACAAAGAAGAGGGGGTTGTTTCCGACGGTCCCGTGCCATGGTGCAAAAGAAACCAACTGTCGTTTATAGCGGAACAAGTATCGCATCATCCACCTAGTGAGTATTCACTTGAAAGGAGACATAATTTAAGCTATTTTTTTAAGTATCCGCATTTTATGCGGAACACTACAATAAACGCATCTCTTTCAACGCTCACGTGTATACAAAGTCAAAGTTTTTGGGTTTGTCCGTATGCGTATATAACATAGGACAGGGTATAGTTTCAGTCTTAGACTACGACGAAGAGTACGTGGTAACATTCCCCAACGGTTACGGACGCTCTATTTTAACAGTTCCTTGGATAGAATTGGGAGGCACGGTCACCATAACTTGCCAGAAAACCGGTTATTACTGTAATATCGAGTTTATAACCAAACCGTTCTACGGCAACAAGAAACATAAAATAAACGCTGACGTCTTCGGGCCAGACGATAAAAAGCCGTTTTTGTCAATTAACGGCGAATGGAACGGAGTAATGGAAGCCAAATGGTCTGATAAGGTGAGTGGGGAAGTGACGGGTGTCGTATTGGTGTTTTTAACCCATGTTAATCTAGGACACTGAACAATTCATCGACGTAAATGCCCTTGAAATAATTAAGAAAAAAGTGAAACCTATCAGCCAGCAGGAAATAAATGAGTCACGCAGACTATGGAAGGAGGTAACAGCCGGCCTTAAGTTTAACGATATAGATAAAGCAACGACGGCTAAACAAACGCTGGAGCAGAAACAAAGAGACGAGGCTAAAGACAGGAAAGAGGCGGGGGTTGAATGGCGAACAAAGGTGAGTTGGTTTAAGGGATGTGCTTGTGATGAGACGTTTGTTTTAGTTGTTCCATAAATGTTCGGAAGACGGATGGATGTATACAATGCCGCTGCGGCAAAGGCTGCAAAAAACATCGAATACTTGAACATGAACGGTCTTATGATTGATAATTATTGTGCTTTTCTGAACTGTTCTATGAACTGTCTTGTCTGATGAATTATTTTTTCAGGATTATTATAGTGAACTGTGATACATTATCATGAAAAGTGTACGTATTGTAAAATTTTTAGTATTATACAGCTGCCGGACAGCATTTATTTTCGTGATGAAGCAATTTATATAAGTTAAATATTCCATTTTTATTTAAATTGGATGTACACGTTTGGTTGAATTAACTTGAGTTTTTTACGCGAACAATTTTGTTGTAGTTTTTTTTTTTTCTAAATTTTATGTGACTCGCCTGTGAAGGGTAACTGGTAGTACAATCAGATCATATTTGTATGTAACTTACTTCCAAGTTGAACTCCTTTAAATAAATGATAAACACATATCATCCTATTAAATAACTGCATTTGCATATTCTATAAACGGAAATGTTACCTTTACGTTTTGGCGCCAAATAAACTGTCAAAGATCGAGGTAACATAACCTCACATCTTAACTAGATTTACGATTTATAAGAGTTCTTATTGAAAAAGTTGTTATTCTAAATGTGCGACATGCCATCATCTACAAGTACCGACGAACCCATTATTTCAAAAGTGAACACATGCTTCAAAAATGTGAGTTATGCCCAAAATAAAATTTTAATTAAAGCGTGACTTTCTAGGATATTATTAAAGAGGTGCTCAAATCAAATTTCGTAAACCCCAGAACAAAAATATCCGACGATTCTGTAGACTTAGTGACTGAATTGAGTAAATATATAGTAGTAGAAAGCTGCCTCAGAGCAGCCAAACAGTGTTCCACCCAAAACAGAACTACTGTTACTTTAAATGATATGGAAAGCGTTCTTCCGCAAATCGTAAACGATAATCAACAAGCAATGAAAATAGTATTAACTTTATTTGTTACAGATGTTGGATTTTCCATAAATAAGTTTAAAACAAGTCCATATCATTTGAACAATTTATATCAAGAAAATCATCGTCATAAGTCTCACACTTCCTTCTGTCATCAATTCCATTACCCCCATCCATGCCATCGCCGCTGTTCTCATGTCCACCATCTGTTTCAGGCGTTGGTGGTGGATTAATTACATCCCTCTCATCAGTCTCTTTTCTTACGCGATTATTTTCCTTAGCTAATAATTCAGCTCTTGTTAATAAATCAGGCAAAAGTTTGTTTTTCGAAGCAGCAATTTCATCTTTAAGTTTCTTCAGTTTCTTTTTTTGTTTCTTCTTCATCATAATCTTCGATTTCTCCTTCTCGTCATCAAAAATGTTGTTTTTTTGCTCCTGTGTTAAATCGTTGTCATGCCTGACTAGAAAAAGGAATACGCCCCCTGGAGTTCTACGTCTGGTTTGGTTCTAATTTAAGTGGTTTATTTTAATGTAATAAAGCAGAAACACAATAAAATCTTACCATAATTAACATTCCGCCTTCTTCTTCTATCCTTTTAGTTTCCTTAAATATACTGAAGGTTTTTTCTATACCCAATGTATTAAGTACCCTCACTACAATATTTTTTTTTCATAATTTTATACTGACGATTTTTAGAAACTTACAGATCAATTCCTCCTTTTCTTCAAATAATTTATTGGCTATATCCTTTGCAATTTCTTCCGGGGTATTTGAGGCGGTAACAGTTAGATCTATTATATTCCTGGAATGACCTTTAGCCCTGTCTTGACTTTTGGGTCGCCCCACTGATCTAACATTCGAATTTTTCCTGTCGTCTCTTGTCCTTTTATTATTCGTCCTGTTAAAATGACTTAAACTATAATCATAAGTCTCCACGTCACGTGATCTGTCCTTAATAGTAACATCACAGCTATTTAACGTTTCAGAAAGAACATCTTCCTGGACTCTAGTGCTCCAAATATCATATTTCTTTCTTTTGGGCTGTTCCAATTTAGGTTTTAACTTAATTTTAGGCTTCTTGCTTTTCCTATTCGTTGAATCAGAATCACTGTCTGAATCAGAGGACTGCAATTCTGTTTCGCTTTCAGATTCAGGGACCACCACTGGAAAACGCGGGTTTGGTTGAGTCCCCGAATAGTCAGCTGGTCTTTCAAGCGGTGTGTACGTATCCGAATCGTCGGACAACTACAATATTCACCAATGAAATCATTTACCAAATTGTGATTAAAAAGTACTTCGCCCTCTTCTAATACAACTTCGTCTTGTTCCATAATAAAACACCTCTTATTTGTTACGTTTTGACGAGCGAAACTACCGCTGTCAACTTCTATGCTGTCCAACTGTCGTTATAATGTTTAATGTCTGCGTCTGCGTACGAATTTTTAAAACCGCTAATTTGTCATTTTTCTTTGCAAAACTTAATTTGAATTAGATTTCTACCAGTAATAAATTATGTAATTCTAGTGTATGCTACAAGCAAAACATTATCGGTGTAAATAATCAAAAAAGTTGGTGATTTTACAGGAATTCTCGGGTTCGTATATTCTGGTAAGCCTATATTCGGCGGCTTATCGCAAAAGGCGTCTGTCAAAATGACTGACAAATGACAATAAGATATATAACCTTCAAAAAGTCAATAATTATTTCGACGAAATATTCTCTTTAGTGCATTGTCATGCTGTAGTTGTGGTTTGGAACGATGCCAGAAAGTCAAATTGAGTTTGCCGTGCAGATGACATGTAACTCCTGCGTGGAGGCAGTGCAAAAATCTTTGGCTGGTGATCCCAATATCAAGAATGTCAATGTAGACCTAGAAAAGGGGTCAGTCGTGGTCACATCTACACTTCCGACTCTCCAAATACAGGAAAAACTTGAATCGACCGGTCGCAAGGTCGTTGTAAGAGGATATGCAGGTAGTTCGGCAGGTGTTGCTATTCTAGATACGGGAAAAGGGAACATCCAAGGGGTCGTTAGGTTTGTTCAAGTAGCACCCAGTTCGTGCATCATTGATGGTACCCTTGATGGGCTGGAACCCAATACTGAGTATAAACTCACCGTGAACGAATGCGGGGATATATCACAAGGTAAACAAATTTAATTAATAATTACCTACTGTAAGTTGAAAATATTTTATTCTAGGATGTAAAAGTGTTGGCGGTGTATACCAGCCACTTCAAGACGGTGAAGGACGCCCTTATGGGGACTTGGGAGTCTTCAAAACAGGGAATCACGGTCGAGCCACTTTCAAGAAAGAAGATAATGTTCTTAACTTACCTGAAGTCATAGGACGTTCACTTGTTGTCAATTTCGGAGAGAAAAGACTAGTTTGTGGGATCATTGCAAGGTCTTCTGGCCTTTTCCAAAATCCCAAAATGATATGTGCATGTGATGGAGTAACTATTTGGGATGAGAAAATTGCACCCAAAGCTGTTTTGTAGTTATAATTAGGTGTAATTGTTAAAAAAAAATATATTTTCACTTGTTCAGGTCGTTGTTCTTACTTTTGGTACCTTAATCTTAATTATTCCAACATTTTATCTTATGTCTACCAGCAGAACAGGACAATACAAACACGAAACAAGTATAAAATTAGCCAAACAAATTGGGGAGATATTAGTGAGTGAAGATGTGGGCTTTGGCGTTATTTTTGGTGGGTTGTGGAGTTTTAAAAAGTGAAAGCTTTTCAATTGAGGCCTTACATCATGAAATGACTGACAATGAGTTGGCTTATTATTTCCAAACTGTTGATAAAAATTTGGTGCCTGAGTACGAAGTCGTTTATTTACCAGAAATGGCACCATTTGAGAGCGATTCATTCAGCTATACTTTTGATGCTTTCCAACGGTATAAAAATAAAATTAACTTAAACGAAACCCTATTGATTAATTTGCAGACCAATCAGTTTACAACTTAAGAAAAATGAACACATTGTTTCTCCGAATTTCACAACTTATTTAACTGAAGACGACTTTCAAACGATTTTGCCTAAAACACCAAACAATTGTCACTTTATTCACCGAGATGATTCAACTGTAGCTGCTATAAGTTCGTGTGAGCCACGTTCGATGGTAAAATTAATTCTCTAACAATTAAAACAAATCTAATTGTGTTCTTAGCAAGGACTCATACTTCTCGAGGATTCAACTTTAGAAATTCACCCTTTAACTGAGCGTCTTCAAGCTTTGGTAAAAGAACCTTTACTAGAAGATCTACCAGCAGCTGATAACACCACCCCACATATCATAAAACGAGCCACTTTTGTTTCACACGATGACGATGCTTTTCCAATCTCAAATCACATTATGGCAGGCGTTCGAGAAGCTGCAAGCCATAGGCCTGCTGGTGCTTTAACTGTGGAAGTCGCAATGTTTTTCGACGAAGCTGCATTTAAAATTTTTGCCCCGTTTCTGGGTAACAACAATCAGAAATTGCAAGATATGCTGTTGGCATACATGAATGGAGTTTGTTTTTTCTTTTTTTTTTAATTTATTACTTTTTTTAACTATGATTTTATCTAGGTTCAAGCACTGTATCATCATCCTAGTCTCGGTACTTCTATTGAACTCGTCTTGGTACGCCTCGACATCATGAAAAAACAGGCATCGGCTATGCCCCACTACAACGGTGAGCGGTCCAAGCTCCTAGACTCTTTCTGTGCGTACCAAAGTAGTCTCAATACCAAAAGTGACGAAGATCCGAATCACTGGGACATGGCAGTGTATATTTCTGGGTATTTGACCAACTTTTGGTTAATTCGATATATGACCGAATTTATTTTAGCTTAGATTTTTACGCCTACGAAAACGGGAGAAAAAGTGGCGTCACAATGGGCCTTGCAACAGTAGGCGGTGTGTGTTTAGATAAATATAATTGTTTAATAGCCGAACTGGGCACTACTAATGTATTTGGAAAACCTTACCCTAGCGCTGGTTTTACCAGTGTCTATATTTTGGCTCATGAAATTGGCCACAAGTATGTAAAAAATCAAAAACGTGAATTGTTAAATCCATTTGTTTTCTAGCCTAGGAATGCATCACGACAGCGTGGGCAATACTTGCCCCAAAGAAGGCTACGTCATGTCTCCTTCTAGAGGCACAAACGGCGAAACTCAGTGGTCACAATGCAGTGCCGAAGTTGTTTCAAAACTTAGTTGGGCTAAATGTTTGCATGATTCATCCAGACCCCCCACACACCTGGATCATTCGCGGTTTCTGGATAGCCCAGGCCAGGTCTACACTGCTAAAAAACAGTGCGAAATCTTACTGAGAGATAAAGATGCAGTGGTAGCACCTAATCAAGACTTGTCAACGATCTGTTATAGTTTGAAGTGTAAAACACCGCATCGCAGTGGGTATTATTTTGCAGGGCCGGCTCTTGATGGTACTGAATGTGGAAAAAAGAAGGTGACACCTCAACACAAATAAAATGTGATAACTATCTGAGAGTTTTTAGTATTGTTATGGTGGAGAGTGTGTGAAAAAAACACCACCTAAACCAATGAAAGTTGTGCCCGGTGGGTGGGGACCGTGGAAAGAGTCTCCTTGTACCTCCGGTTGTATCGAAAAATCGCGTGGGTTTCAACTGCAAACCAGACAGTGCGACAGTCCAGCCCCAGTTAACACGGATCAAGGATGTCAAGGGTCGAGTGTCCAGTTTGGAGTTTGTCGAGATGATAAGGTAAGTATTTTTTTCAGGGAAACAGTAACTATTTTTTTTAACATTAGATTTGTAAAAGTAAAAGAGTGAGCGTAATCGATTATGCTTCCCAAAAATGCCAAGAATTTTCAAATTTGTTGCCGGAACTTGATCCCAAAGGTGGAGGACTTCAAGCCCCTCACGAGGAGGGTATTTTAGAACAAAATATTGATTTGTTGTAATTTATTCTATTAATTTTTAGCTCGTGTTTGGATGGGATGCGCTATTTTCTGCAGACGAGCCGACTCTGGTGGATTCTATACCCCCAGATTGGAATTGAACGATTTGGGAGTATCCCCGTATTTTCCGGACGGCACTTGGTGCCACCGCGAAAAAAATTTGAATTATTATTGCTTACACCACCACTGTTTGCCCGAGGTATTTACTATTATATTTTATGACGTTCCAACAAAAAAAATTAAAATAAAAATTTAGAATTTCCGTTTTACGAAAATTGACCCATTGGACACAATCGGTGATGACATTTCTTTCTCGCAAAATGCTGGCCCAGAATCTGTAATTCCCCCCGAAATCAAGCCTTATTTTTCTTTAAGTCCCGAGGGTAAACCCCTGAAGACAGTCCTCAAACCGCACGAAACTAACAACCCCAAAGAAGAAGACTGGGAGATAGATGACTACATTGTGATCCCCGGTTTAAAAGAACGCTATGATTAACTGATTTGATTTATAATTGAGTATTTAATTTAATTTAAAAATAAATATTTTTTAAGCATCATAATGTGTATTGCTGGTTGCCTGCGTCTATTTGCAAATCTAGTGTTTTTTACCGATTGCCTAACCTGTTTCTTAAATAAATCCCCACTTGTCAATAATTTATCTGTCAGTTGCTAGTTGTAGTCAGAGGTGAATGTAGCTGACCATTTCGTGAATTTATGGTGCTTGATAACGGAAATAAATCGTCTAGATTCAATTAGATTAGGTGAGTGATTTTCCATTTACTTGTGCATAACTTTCGTAATGTTTTTTCACAATGTCATTGAGGGATTTTTCTGGAAGAGACCTGTCGTTAATACAATCAATAAACGAGCAATTTTTTTAAATTGAACATCCGATTTTTATTCCGATCCGCGACTCCACTTTAACCTTTGGATCTTTATCACCAAACAAAGGACTCGCCAAATGACTCAACGTAATTAACCAGTGCGAGTAACGATTTTTCATAATGCATGCAGAATCGATTCAGTTTCTTGCGAAATTCGCCGCTGTCACAGAGCGGCCTTGTACTTGTCGTAGGGTCCCACATGTCTTGAAAAATTGCCAAAGTTTGTGTTCCACCACTTTTCTTATTGTTTTTGATATCTGTGCGAAATCGGACTGACACCGGCACTGCCTTCGAGGTTATTTGAAAAAAATATAAATGCGGAAAAACAAAACGACAAAGGTTGTTTACCTCAAAATAAAAATGATATGGGCAAGGTCTAGTACCGCAACTCCTTTGTTACCACTATCAGTTTGTAACCAAATTTGGTTTTACACTTCAAATCAATTAAGAAAGTCTTATCAGTGAAGAGAAAGAATCAAAGTCTTAATTTTGTAACTTACATTACATATTTATTATCTGAAAAGCGAGCAAATGAGGATTGTTTCAGCGATTTATTTTCTTTATTGGAATTATAATTACGAGCACAATTATGAGCTACATATGATACATCAGGTATATGTTAGTAGAATTGGTTCATCTTTATATCGCCTGAGGTTTGAAAAAAACTCATAAAAACTGGTATATTATGTATGGAGCACTGACCTAGAAACCGAGACGAATTACCAAATCCAAATAAAATGTGTTATGGAATCGAAATCTTAAGATATTTAAACTTTTTTAATTATGTCATTTTTTTCTAATAATTGATCTTTGTTCTACTAAAAAGATATCTTTTTTTCCAATCCGCTATGGTTTAATTTTCATTGTTTGGTGTCCTCAATCAGTTCTAATTATTCTTATCGCGAGCCTTAATTGGCATTCAAACAGTGACCTGCCTTTGAACAAAAGAATACACATTCTCCCGTCCTTGGACTTGACCACTATTCCAACCTTGGTCCTTTGACCCCATAAGCGGAAATCAACAAAACATCAGATTTTTTCAAATCTGTAAATTCGCAAAATCATCCGTTTCCTTGTTCTTTGTTGTATGACATCGCGTGCACCTGCCTTCCTCCACCTTGTTGCCAAGCCAGAGTTTCGATCGTCATAATTTTATTGTTAGATTCTGACAAAACGTCAATTTTTTTGTCACTGGCCTCTTGCGAAAATGCTATTACATTTTTGCGGCCAAGGTCGGGTAAGAAACCCTTCTTCGGCTTCTTCACCAGAGGCTTCGAAATGCGATAGAGCGAATCGAAGGCGGCCTCGATTTTTTCAGTTGGGGATTAGTGAAAGTGTGCCGAAACGTCGACGGTTATATAATTTTGATTGTAGAAATGAGATTTGTAAAAAAATATTTGTTAGGTGAGGGGTCAAAGGTGGTGTATTGCTGTATTCTTTTCTTTTGTAAAGATAATGATGCGATTTGGTTAGTGATAGTCATTCACGTGGAATGAGAGTCGGTGCCAAAAATGTTTAAGCTGTTTGGAGTTATTAATGAGTCGTATTTTTCCGCATTTTGTAAGTTTAGAAAATCAAGAATTGCCAAAAATGGTGTTCGGTAATTAACTTTTATAAATCAATATACTGTTCTTATCGCTTTCAACGATTTAATAGGAAGTAAAGTGCACATTTTCTATAAAAAATCCTAGTCCTTTTACAGCACCTTGACGTTTTAAATGAAATCGAGTCAGGTTGTTAAAATTTCACTTTTGCGAAGTGATCAAGGTTACCGCTTCTTATTTCTTCATAACCGTAAAGTGTTATTTGCAAGAATAGGTTTAATAATACCTTGCAAATGGAAATTTGTCTTACAAAAATAATTTGTCATGTCTTTTAAAAAATGTAATGTAGGTTAAATATCTCTTACTAAGTGTTTGCAAAAGTCTGACATGAAATTTTTGTGATTTTTTAGATTGTTGTGAAATAGGCCAAGTATGACGTTCCTGTTCTATTTATGTCTTCTTTTTTTGGCCTTAATTCTCAGAAATGAGCATATATTTTTAAATACACTCACCGTTTTGAATAATATGTATGAATTATAATGCATATTAATTTACTGTTTATAGTGAAACCTTTTATGACTTAAACAGGGGTGTTCCAGAACTCGTGGATCAGAGAAAAAGATACCAGAAACATGGATTTTTTTTAATTCTATCTAAGATTTGCGAAATTATGGGGGTTTAAATTTTACACTTTGACCCTATTTATTCCTGTTGGAAATAGTTATTTATTGTAAGAGTGTGTTAGATAGCGTTTTATCCACGAGTTCGAGTGGTTAATTTTCTTAAGTGGATAAAACGCGACTAACACACGACTGCAATATAACGTTTTATCCACAATCACAGGCCCAAATTATTCCAAACTTAATTAAAAATTAAACTGACATTTAAACGTCACGCCAAATGTGCTTTCGGTAAACGTAGTAAGCTGTTACGCGGTGCGCTGGTTACTAACAGTGGAATAAAGTTACTTTATTCCACTAGTGGATAAACTGGTATTTGATACGCATCTAAAGTGTGGAATAAAGTCTCTTTATAGAGTGATTGTGGATAAAATAATTTTATATGTTTTTTTGCTGCAGGCTACTAAAAGAGGAAAAAAGGAGGTATCCTGAATTGTAACGTTATTTGTGGCTTTTATTGGCAAAGTTTGTGTACCTTTACCGAATTATTATGAAAAAACATACAAGATCATCGGTAACATCAAATGGACATAAAAAAGGTAAAGTGCCAAAAAAATCAAAAACAGCTAGAATTTTTTAAACATTTTTCCATGTTCCTGGTATCTACAAACATTTTTTTTTGAGGCGCGAGTTTTCGGAGACCTGTACATCATGATTTTTTTACAGTACCAATATAATAATAATTTCAGTGTTAAAAATTAATAGTTATTTTGTTATTTATAGTCGAATGATTATGGTCGAAAGCTTCAAGAAAATTTTACACCTACATTTTGAATTGTATCTTCTAAAGGAAATATTTTACATTATTTTAATGGCTAACCTTAAACAACTGCCCAATCACAATGCTTACAACTTTTGCAACAATCCTTCTTCTGGATTAAAGCAAAAAAAATCAGAAAACGGCACCTTCTGGATCTCCTCTGTTTACATACTAACAAGTCCAAATACAGCCTTGAAGTCAAAAAATTTCAACGCATTTCAGTGCATTCTAATTGTTTGTTGACTCGGCTAACAATTTATTATATTTAGTTGAAAATATAGTTTTCATTTTAAATGTGATTTTTTTTTATCTTATTATCAAACTTTCAGCAATGGTATGCGATTAGTGCTAAAAGATATTTTAATGTTTGATAATTGATTTAGTGTGGATGAATAATTATATTTATTAATATTCAGTATAATTCCGGTTTTGTGAAGTGGTGTTAATTTCCGGAATTAATGTTCATAAAATCTACAAAGTTCAACGCATCTTTATGCAATCAATATCGACGATAATCGATAATGAATAAAGTCAAACAATTCGAACTGATCAAACAAATCAAGTGTGCCCTTAAACGGGAAACACTGAAAAGTAAACAAAACAATAATAACGAGTCCAGTCATAATCCAAGGCTAGATGACAAGCAAAACAAAACAAAAATCTCATTAGTCATTATATAAAAATCAAAAGCCAACTTTGTAATACATATTAGAAAAAAACGCGACCTATTACCCCCAATTTTCTAAAAGACATATTTTTGTTATAACAAAAAATCAGAATGTTAATTCGGAATTCATTTGTTGGCAATCTTTCAATAACAAATTTTCACAAAAAGAATGACACTCATTAGTTAAACTGTCGCTTTGTTTTCCTCACGTGATCGGAAATCGAAGAAGTCAGGCGAGAGTGCGCCACATAAAAGTAAGAGGAGATCGATGACGTCGCCTGTCGTACGACGTACGACTATGACCCTCTTTTCGCTATTGGAGCATCGTATGACACCACCAACACGTGGTCACTCCACGTGCATTTCGTTGATTGTGTTTACGATACGAACGGGAGGTGTGTCCACTACGCAAAATACACTCAAGGACCAAAAACAAATTTTCGGGCGCGTGGACACTCAAATTGTTAATTTGAAAGCCAGCGATAAAAAACGTGCACCCAGGAATGTGGAGTTGTCTTTTTACAAATCTCATTATAAAGCAAATATGTCACAATATGGGGGCGCACATAAAGTGTAACGGATCGTGTACTAAGTACATGCCGTTCCACTGGTGTTGACAATTTTGCTTCTTTAGAACTTTAGATGATCTTTGATAATATAGATAGATGATTATCTAGTGATAATGCGTTGTTTCGGTACACGTGGAGGTGTAAAAAGGAAAAATATTTATTGTTGACTTTTTACAATGGTAGGTGCGTATCATTAAATGCAAATTGTGTGCGTTTTTATGATTTGAAAAGAATGTTAATCAGGATAATAATGGTAACGACCATAAAACAGTTACAGTGTTTTGAATTTTATAGATTGTGGTATTTTTTACAATACAAGTGTGGTCATATTTTCACCTTTTGGTCATTCATAAAACAAGAAATTATTACACCTATCAAGATTATTTTAACAGGCCAGCAGGTAGGGAGGCTTCAGTTCGAATCTGTGTCGTCTTACAATTTTTCAATTTCCAAAAAAAAAATAGTATAATAAACCTAAAAAATTCAGAATCTACAGAATTCTTTGTAAACCTACCTATGCATTGTTACAGCACCAAAAGGATTTTCAAATTATAAACCAACAGCACATACTAAATTGTTAGTAATTCTCTCAATTAGTTAAGCGATATTGTAAAATGTGATTACTGATTAACAATTTGAAACGAGTTTTAAGTGTATCCATTATCAAATATCCATAAAACTGTCATTTTACATTGTTTTATTTACTAATTAAATATTTATTATAATTTATATAGCAAATTACTATTACATATTAGTAAATTACACACAGGTATCAAAGTTCTTTTAAATTTTATTTTTAATAGTTAATTGTTGCTTAGTTTTACAATGCAATTATTTTGTTGACTATTACGTTTGTGCTAGCTAATGCAGATTAATATTTTTAAAGGAAAATGTTGTAGAGGTACAATGTCAACTGCTGTATAAAATTCTGTAAATAACAAATTTTGTTGTGAACACTGAATTAAAAGTCAATAATTAAAAAATTATTTCGAAATATAAAAGAAAAAATAAAATTAGGCATATACTTGAAAACAACATAAAAATTGAATACTGTTTCAAACAAATTTGTTTATCTATAATCACTCTATAAAGAGACTTTATTCCATACTTTAGATGCATATCAAGTACCAGTTTATCCACTAGTGGAATAAAGTAACTTTATTCCACTGTTAGTAACCAGCGCACCGCGTAACAGCTTACTACGTTTAACCGAAAGCACATTTGGCGTGACGTTTAAATGTCAGTTTAATTTTTAATTAAGTTTGGAATAATTTGGGCCTGTGATTGTGGATAAAACGTTATATTGCAGTCGTGTGTTAGTCGAGTTTTATCCACTTAAGAAAATTAACCACTCGAACTGACGTTCTCGCGGTTAAACATTCTTGCGTGGATAAAACGCTTCCTAACACACTCTAACTATAAATAACTATTAATTGTTCAGAATAATTTATGTGAATAATTTGGCGACAGTTGGCACACTCCAATTTTATTTTTGTATCTGTGTAAAAACGTATTATTTTCTAGATTATGTTTTGATAAAATTGCCAAGGTATAAGTTTAAAGAAAGTAGTATTAGTAAAAGAGATAAAATTATTGAAAGTAGCTATGACTACATACTGAATTAAAAACAGTTGCCGTTTGTTGCACATTTATATAGTGCGATCAAAAAGTCTTTCTATCAAGTAGGCGTCCTACTTAAGGACGTATGTTGCATGGCAGTTTTATAAAAATTAAAACATTGAGCTAATTAAATTGAATTATTCTATGAAACGTCTCAAAACAAATTAAAATGAGATCTTGTTGGTGTTTATTCATAAAAATCGTTTCCACGGTTTCCTGTCATAATTTACATAAAAAATATTTTGACATTTCTCATTTGTCATTGTGACATTTCATCTTCCACAGACATACGTTTTAAATTTCTACGCTTGCTTGATAGACAGAGTTTTTGATCGCACTGTATTTCAGCGTGTAGTTTTTTCACTTTCTTTGAATTATTATATAACTCAAAAACGGAAAACATTCTTTGCAAATTTTAAGTTTTTTGCGACTAAATAATCGTTTAAATACTAGAAAACGAAATTTTCCATTAAACACAGAATAATTCCGATGATTAAAACTACGAAAATCCGTTACAAATAAAATGTGTGAATCAGTTAATAATTTTTGTTGACATGTTTTGCACATCTAACCGTGACCTTGTGATGAAATCGTTGATAAATAATAAACAAAAATAGAAATTGACTTTCTAAACGGTTTGTGTTATATAATTTCAAAAAATGCAGCTGTTTGTTGCCCCCCCCCCCTCGCAAATACGAAAACAAATGTTTCAAACGATTTGAAACTGTTTCAAAAAGGATAAAGATAAATCGTCGATTACTAGCCATTTAGTCTCAGTGTATACCTTTTAATAATTCTCAAACTTTGCTCCGAACACTTGTACCTTGCGTGACACGTTTATATTGTTATTGTTGAATCGATATGTAGTAATATAAAAGGGTACGTTCGGAGGAGACTAACTTTCTCTTACGTCGGTAATAGTTACGAAAGTGCAAATCCATGCGGTACCAAATACGTCAAAATTATTTTATCGCAATGTTTTAATACATCTTATGTTTTTGTTTTAGATTGCGAGTGCAGGACGCGCGCGCCAGGATAACAACAGAGACTATAAAAATACGCGTGTTTTGTTTTTCACACTCATTATTGAGTTGGAACCTGTATGAAGTTCAAGTGTTTGTGATAAAATAACCGAAATGTATTCTATGAACTATATTGGACGCTTCTTCAGCAATTTTAAAGAGTTTTACAACGAAATCAATACAGCAACGTTGACCGGAGCTATCGACGTCATCGTCGTAGAGCAAGAGGATGGCACGTACAAGTGTTCACCTTTTCATGTCAGATTTGGAAAATTGGGGGTACTCAGAAGTAGAGAAAAAGTGGTTGGTATTCGAAGCAAATCATTTTTCAATTTATTTAATTTTTTGTTAACAAGGTGGACATTGAAATTAACGGGGAACCCGCCGACATCCACATGAAACTGGGAGAGAGTGGGGAAGCCTTCTTCGTCGAGGAACTCGAAGATGATGACAACGAAATCCCGGAACATTTGGCCACAAGTCCAATTCCCGTCAACGAATTTGAGAACATCTTTACGTCGCAAGGCCGAAGGAGGAGTTTTGGGGAACCCCCGACTCTTGAAAATGAAATCAATGATTACACAAAACGGCGTAATACCGCCGATAATGAGAGTAACGTTAAACGTGAACGGGATTTTCTCAAAAGACAGATCGGTTTGGGGAACATTGGCATCGGGGAAAACAGCACGGAGGATATGTCCAGATCCGTGCACTCTACCACGAAAGAAAGCATGGAGGATTTGAGCAAAGACAACGACATTTCGGACACTATCTTTAAAATGGACAGTTTAGAGATGGATACCAGCCGGTCAGAGAGCGGACCAAAGCCCGAAGAGTCGAGTCAAGGGAAAGACGAACAAAGTAGCGAAAGTCGCAGTAGTAAGAAAAAACGTCGCAAAACTAAAAAGAAAAACGCGCCGAGGAAGTCGTCGAGTGTTAATCAGATTTCCACTGAAGTGGCAGAGAAAAATGATTCAGCGACGACAGATCCTAGCTCGATTGAGAGTAATTCTTCCGAGCCCGAGTTAAAGGAGTTGCAGTAGGTGTTTTTTTGTGTTTTTTGATTTTGTTTTTGAAATTGTGTGGTTTAGGAATGTCGAAGGGATTGCACAAACGCCGTCAAATAATCGCAAGATTATAGATCCGGATTTTCATTTCTTCAGTGATACGGAGTTGACTAGCAATGTGGTAGATTCGAGGGCGGATTCCCCGATTCAAGTGGAGGCGGTGCAGTCGGATTCCGAGTTTGAAGTGAAAAATCGCAAAGGTGAGCGATTAGTTAATAAAATTATAACGGTTGATAAAACGGTGAAATATGTTGTGGTAATTGGATTTCATTACACCGTAGTGTAATACAAAATCTATTTTTAATCCAGTGATAATGATATACCTAGTTATTTATAAAATTGGTAAGCAAACGAAGGTTATTATTTGACGATATTCAAAATTATGGCAATAGATTAATGTTTTCCAACACTGTTCTCACCACATTTTTTCTATAGCTGCCAAGACAATGATAAGTCAATTTACTTGTTTAGCCTTTTTAAATTTTTTATTTTTTTATTAGTCCTGAAATTCAGAAATTAATGAAAATAATAATAGGGTAAAGGAGGTTTATTTAAACTTAAATACTAAGGGCCAGTTTCATAATCGAATTAAAGGGACTTTAAAGTTAATGTTGGTTTAGAATGTGCTGATTAGTATAGACTTGTTGACAAAAATTTGACATTCTAAACCAACATTTTAAAGTTCCTTTAATTCGATTATGAAACTGGCCCTAAACAATTTTTATAAAATAGTAATTAAAATTTAATTCCTAATTTCAAGTATTTTTTCTTACCAATCATTACTAGTAATCTTAAAATTAACCTTGATCTTAGGCCGCATCTCTGTTATTATTTGATTATCAGTTATATTCATCTCACATGATATTATGTTTATCAGTCCTTTGGAAAGCTATCCTTGGATATTTTTCCATTCTTCCCTTCTGACTATGTATTTTTTTATTGTTTGCATTTCAGGCGATAACAAAGATAACGGCCAAAGCTGGGAATGGGGCGGCTTCCCAAGCGTCTCGCCAGCAAACTCCCCAATCAGCGAACAGGCCACTAAAAACGACCAGTTTGCGATTAGCAATGTCTTCTCCTTTATGAAAAAATCTCATGGCCAGACTGAAGGAATCTACTTGTCGGATCTCAACTCGGTCGATCCGGAAGTGGCCGCTCTTTATTTCTCGACTAACAAAAACAAAACTACAGGTTAGAGTTTTTACCGGCTTCATTTTTCAGTAGTGTAGCTCCGGTTTGTTTTTTGAGTTCTTTTTATTAAGTGTCAATGTCGTATAATAATTTAGATGCCGACATGGATTGTGAATCAGGAAATGGTCCATCATTGGCCCAAAGTCCGAACAGTGCCGAAGGATGTAAGTCGATCGATTCCGATTTCGAGGAACACATCAAAGGGTAGGTCTGAATAGACGTTTTTTTAAACAGCTTTTTATGAAATGTGTCGCTAGGGGTCGCATGTTTTCTAATGAAATCTCGATGTCGCTATGTGGCTGGGACCCAGAACCGGATCCGACCCGTTTTGACGAACACATGGTCGCCTTCAGCGATTTCTGCAACAACCCCATGTTGATTGAAGACCCGAATTTGGTTGTGAATATAAGAGGAAAATACTACAATTGGAAAGTAGCAGCACCTATTATTTCGAGTATCATGGTCTTCAATAGGCCTCTACTTCAGGTATTTTATTGTAACAAAATTTTTGAAAAAAATTCAGTTTAATTTTTCGCTTGTAGTCATCAATTGATCAACTTTGCAACATACATATGCCTTCTAATCAACAGAGTAAAGATATTAAACAAGAAGAAGCGAAAACATCGTGGTGGTACTGGCGAAGATCAAAGACTTCAAGAGAAACTACGCCGATTGTTGATCCAACAAAAGCTGTAGTACAAGTCAAAGATACAACTATAGATATAGGAGATGAGCATATTCTTCAAACTGATATTTCAGTTGCCCAAAAAATACCCAAAACTGAAGAGACTGAAGACAAGGACAAAGAATGTGCTATCTCTATCGCACCACAAGTGTGCCAACTTTCAGAAAAGTATAGGAAGACCTTGCGACTCAGCTCCAAGCAAATTGTAAGTGCCATCTAAAAATAAGTTTCTTATACCAAAAATTAATTTTCGGTTTTCTTAACTTAACAAGTAGTTTAACGGTAGCGAGTGCGTTAATTATGAACGCCGATTACCAAAATTTATTTTTGATTATTCATGTAGCTGTTAAAAAGGTATCATTCCACTGATGTATTTAATTAATTGCAGGCGTGTTTGAATTTGCGCGACGGCATGAATGAAATCGTGTTCAGTGTAACAACTGCGTATCAGGGAACAACTAGATGTACCTGTCATTTGTACAAGTGGAAATGGGACGATAAAATCGTCATATCCGATATCGACGGCACCATTACGAAATCGGACGTTTTGGGTCACATCCTTCCTATTGTCGGAAAAGACTGGGCACAATCGGGCGTCGCTCAATTGTTTAACAAAATTAAAGGTAACGGTTACAAACTGTTATATCTCAGTGCTCGAGCGATTGGTCAAGCCAGAATCACTCGAGAGTATCTCAGGAGTATCAAACAAGGGAATTTGACCATGCCTGATGGTCCGATTTTGCTCAATCCGACTTCTTTGATCACTGCTTTCCACAGAGAAGTGATCGAGAAGAAGCCTGAACAGTTCAAGATTTCCTGTATGAGCGATATTAAGGCACTGTTTCCCTCTGAATCGAATCCATTTTACGCCGGATACGGAAATAGAATTAATGTAAGTCACCAGGATGGTGAATTGTTCAGCGATTAATGGTGTTTTTTCAGGATGTGTGGGCGTACCGGGCTGTGGGAATCCCAATAGTTAGAATTTTTACAATTAATCCCAAAGGAGAACTCAAACACGAGCTCACCCAAACCTTCCAGTCGACGTAAGTGTCTTTAACTGTTTGATTAATTGGGGGTTTGCTTGTATATTTATCCACATTTTAGTCAGAAAGGTTCTTTAAGTTGGTGTTTTATTTAATTTTTACAGTTACACGGGTCAGTCACTGGTCGTCAATGACGTGTTTCCCCCACTATTACATAAGCTCAAAGACAATGACAGTAGTAGTGACGAGATTGAGTCAGATATGAGTGACAGCGATTAATTTGTATTTTATTAGTACAAAACATTCTCATTGAGTTCATGCAACTAACGGTGGTAGTGCTTTATCATTCATCCTCATGATCATCAGGGGTTTATCGCGAACGCATCCAATGATAAAATACAAATTAGTTCGCGCAATTTTTTTATTTATTTATTATTTCAATGTTATTGTCTTAACCTTCGGCCCTCTCCGTGGTTTTTATTTAAATGGTAAGCTTAGTCAGTATGTAGAGAGTGAATGTGTGCCGCTTTGCATTTGTTTTTCGTTATATTCTACTTTAAGTTGTTTTATTTGGTTGAACAATAGATCTCAACTCTTGAATTTATTTTTTACAGATATTCGACCATGACGTACTATGTAGACCAGCTGTTTCCTCCATTGATTGAAGCTGCCAATGACTATTCGCAATTTTCGTATTGGCGTGATCCACTTCCGGTCGTCGAAGAACTACCGGAAGTAGCGTAAAAATTGGAATTTGTCTGCATTTATCGATTCAGTATTTGTTGTCGTGCGCTTTTGATGTCTTCATTACCGGACACAGCTTTTAGAACAAATCAAGTAGCTGTCACTGTTATGAATTACAATAATAACGATGTGATATACTGATTACCAATTTATTGTAAGGCTAGGCTTAAATACTCTACCTGTTAAACAATTTTTTCTGCGTTGCTTTGTTAATTTTAGTGCTAAAAAGTGATTCACTACTTTTTATAATGTGATATTTTATTTCGTAAGGGATACACTATTTTTGTTGTTTTTTTTTTAGTTACTGCAATAAAATTTCAGATGTATATGTTTATAATTTTTTCTCTTTATTATTAGTATAATTAAATATTTTCAAGCATGATTAAAATTAAAATTTAATTAAGCGAAGTTGATGTGAGTAAAGCGACACCTCTTTCGTAGAAACTGTGGGAGTCTTGACCAGGGGCTATATTCAAGTCCACGGTGTACAATAGCTCGGTTCTTGTGGAATTCAAATAAAGTGGCAACGATAATTTACTAGCTGTAATTTTTTCGTCACCGGAGGTTCGAATCCAACGAAGTAGAGTAATAGGTAATTCCATCATAATACTGGAAGTAAGTAGTAGCTGATTGTTGCGACATTGGGCCCCTTGTAGTTTAATTCCTGTAATTTTATTAATAAGTATCATTTTCAAATTGTTTCGGTGTAACACATGCCTGTAACCGCGAAACAATCGTGCGGAATCGACGCTTGATCATTGGAATCTGTTATAGTGACCTCAAGGTATAGTTCTTCAAGTGACCAACTGTTAGCTTGAGCCACACACTGTCGGGTCGCAGTTATATAAGCTTCGGGATTCAACAAGCCACCCAACCAAACTGGGAAACTCTAAAATAACAAAACAATTAAAAAAAAAAAAAAACAGTAATGATAGAATCAGATTACCTGTAATTCTTTAGCACCGGATGTCGAAACTAATTTTGATACTTGTTGCAACTGTTTGACCCTCTGACTGAAATCGGTAATCCATTGAATAACAGTACAACCCCTAGGGACAGTGTAACGACGCCAGTTTCGGGGCAAAATGCCTCTGACGAGTTCTCCAAGCATTGTCCGGTGGTAATTCGTTTGTTTCTTCTCGCCCTAGAAAATATCTTATTTTAAAACGTTCTTTTCCGAAAAAACAAAAACACTTACTTGACAGATAAGCACAACGTCCTTGAGGTCATGTATAACATCTTGCAGCAATCTCGCCCCCGAATTGACCTCCCTTTCGAAGTACCTATACAACGGATCTTTGATATTCTCCACTGTTCGTTTCAAAGTCTGCAATGACGTTGGTAACAACTGCAACCAAGTTCCAGCTGAATTGTGCAACGTCTTCATCCATGACGGCCTTCCATCGACTTGTGCCGCATCAGTTGGCAAAATCTCATCCACAGAATACGCAAGTTCATCATCATCCTCCAACTGTTGCATTTTCAACAACTTGCTCACCAAATCTGTACCTCTAGTCGTCAAAAGCACCTTCTCCGCATTATTTGGCAAACCTAACCAAGCCGGCGTTTGCCGATCAGCCAAACTTTCAATCCATTTCAAAAAGTGGTCTCTTCTAGTGCCATCCGGCATGGTTATGTGTCTATTTCCATTGGGACCATTATCAATATTTGCCACTAAAGCAAAATCACTCTCGAAACTCTTTGGCGTGAACAGCTTATTAAGAAATGAATGCAACAAACGTTGGTCGAAATCGTTATCAATCTTGCCACCGTAAATCGACTGGGACAATAAAGTGACCAGAGCATCCCATGGGACTTTGTTCGGTGGTAAATTAGTCCGTCCCATTGCTGTAGCATCGATCCACGTATCGAGCGTGTCACACGCAACCCTCAAGTCGGACTCGTTGAACTCGTAGTACTTCGCCCAACCGAGCGGGGCATATCTCAACCTCTCCTGGACAATCGCATGGAACCAAGCCAACAAAAAGTACAACCTTGCCCTCTCATTCGGCGGCTTCATCATCCGACTCGCCGGGACAGTACTGAAAGTCCTTAAGAGGTTGGCCCTGATGCCTGGCGGTGGTTCAAAGACGAAAATCCGGCCAGCCCGCAGTAAATTCACCGGAAGTTTCGGATTTATCTCCATGGTGAGGAACAAACGGAAGTTAGCATGTGGCTGTAACGAATGCAATTTCTTTTCCAGTTGTACCAACCATTGAGGTGCTAAATGTACATTCTTCAACATGACCCATCTACCGGTCTTGCACGCCATGTTTATAGCCCGATCAGCCTGGTTGAAGCCTTCAGCTGAACCAATCGCGATGCTCGAAATCTGTTTATTGAGTTCGGCGGCGAGGTCATCGACACGACTCGAGGCATCGAAGCCTGGGACTGAACAGAGCAAAGCTGGGACATTTGATCTGATCTCCTTTTCAACACATTCAGCCAAATCTAACTCTTTTTCAGCACTCGGCATAAAGTTTTCGCCTAAGACAGCCGACACAAAGAATTGAGCGGCTGCGATAACCCGATCTGGACGGAATGCTTGTATTACTAGAAGCTGGTACATGGCGGTCCCAATGGGGCTCAATTGACGTTCCTCGATCCACAATCGGGGTACACACTGTTCGGGTGAGCTCTGCTGAAGCCAGGCCCCAAATTCGGGCATTTCCTTGATTTTTTCAGCCAGTTTTTTGAAGGATGGAAGCCGGGATGAGAGTCTCATCATGGCTTCCTGTTGTTCGCTATTGAGGCCTTCGATTGAAGGGCCGGTACTCATATTAAAGACGCCTTCTTTGCCCCGGAGGAAGAAATTGAATTCTTGATCGAGATTTGGTTCTGTTGGTACCCCTTTCAAGTGTATGCGACAAAGGAGGATAGCAAAAGTCAGTCGATCATTATGTAACATTCCGCGAGCCACTCGATCATAACAAACCGAGAATAAGTCAGTTGTAATAATGTTGAGTCTTGCTTGGTAATCGGAAATGTTCTCCAAATGGCTATTACTGTACAAAATACTACTAAACATGTCCAAAAACATGTGAAGGGAATACTGGTATAAGAAATGCACTTGATTCAAACTATCCATTGTGAAATAAGTGTTACTACAAGCCTGAGATAGAGGCAAATACTGTTGCGACACTGTCTCAATTTCAGAAATCACTTTATCGGTCTCTTCGACCTTTTGTCCGATTTCAGCCGCTTCCTGTTTCAATGTTTCCAAAGTCGTAATCACACTATCATCATCCAAAATCTTCCCTTTAGCATCGTTCAATGCCTGCAAAAGGGACTTTTCCAACTGTCTCAACCTCAAGTGGAACTCGCCTTGCAATTTCAACAAGTCAGACCTCTTAGCATCAATATCGGGTCTTTCAGCTTTGAGTACTTGATTCAAACATTGACTTTGTAACGAACTTCTCGTCACAGTGAAGTTGACAAAAGTGACTCTCGAGCAAATATCTGGTGGAAACTCGACAGTGGGGTCACGTGTCGATAAGAAAATAACAAACGAAGGTGACAGATCAATATCTTGATCGCCCAGAGTAATAAGGACACGGCCTCCAGTCCGGCGTAACTCTCGGTTGAGTACAGGGTTGAGAATTGGGTCGTAATTTTCAACATCTTGAACAAGGAGAGGATTACCGAAACGTAGAGCCGACTCGAGATTCTTGCGGAATGAGTCGTCTAAGAAACTCGTTTTAGTGATTTTCTTATCTTTGAATTCGTTCATGATGTATTCAGTAGCTTGTCCTGAAGGGTCTATGATAAGAGGGTAGCGGTTGAAACGTTTCAACATGATGGCGTTTTCGGTACAGAGATCGTCCGAAGGTAAAGCATTCGCTTGCCATCTTAGACGTTCATCAGGGTTCGAGAGGTACTCAGTTCGGGCAATATCGGGTCTATATTGGATTGCAGCTTGAGTCAAATGTTGACACCACGTGCTAAACAAGTTCTGTCGATAATGCTGGTCGAAATAGCCCCCATAAGCTATGAAAGCAGCTGATAAAAGAACGTCACCGATAATTGTAGACATTTGCGACCTGAACGTTTCACTAGTGGCCTCCCAACGTTCCCTCTCAATGACTAAACTCTTCAATAGAGCTATGGACCGGTCAACTTTAGCTTGGACGTTTTCTAAATCGGTTTTAATAGCCTGAGCTTGTGCAATCAACTGTGCGTATTCTTCCTTATAAGACGCAATACTTTGTTCCAATTGGCTGATCAAGTTTTTAACTTCTTCGCCACGTTTTTGATTGGTTTCCGCTTGTCTTTCTAAAGAACTCAACTCTTCACGTAGCGGCTCAACTTTCTTTAACATATCAGCGTATAAAATTTGTGCTTTGGCCCACTTGACTAAAGGTCCGCAAGCGTTACTCGCGTGATTGACTTTTTCAAAATTGTAATCAGGGTTGTTGAGATAACGTGTTTTCATTTTTTCGCGAACGTCGTCACTGTAACACGTGATCCGTTATTAAAATAATAAGGTAAAGGAAGAGTTAATAGAGGGTTGGGTCATGCTATTAACTAACAAATACGTCAACGGGATAGGCGAGCTGCAGAAACTTTGTTTCTTGACAATTGCGATGTTGCATGAAACAGCAATGTTGCTGCAACTGCCTCCAGATAAAACTAAGCACATGCATACCTAATATCCTCTGTATTGAAATTGTTGACTACGGTATTGATGAAGTTATCACGCATGATGACAGCTCGAATAGACTTCCAGTCGCTTGCGTTTTCACCGAGTAACAAGCAAATGGATTCTAAGGCCAACTTTACCACCGCAGGGGGATTTGCCATGGTACGGATTTCGACCAATTGTTGTTTTTTGATAGACTTTACGGCTGTGCAAAAACAAAGAAACCAAAAAATAATACAATGCAGGATAGTAAAATCAAAAAACAAGAGAGAGAAATAAAGACAAGCAACAACTATAAGAAAAGCACAATACAAGGTTGTACATCTAGAAATAAATAAACGGCTTCCAACGAGCCTTACGTCAAATTATCACTGCTGAAGTTAACAATAGTCGCAATGAAGTTCTCTCGCATTATAACCGATCTTATCGAACGCCATTCATTGGCGTTTTCGTGCAGCAACAAACACACCGATTCGAGCGCCATCTTGACGCTGTTAGGTGGATTCGCCATAGAACGCACTTCGACCAGATGCTGCTTCTTTATCGATTTAACAGCTAATAATCATCACGTGACCTACAATATAATACTCGGACAAACAGCGAAACTTACCGTTTTGGGCGTCTATGACCGCAGGTTCGACTTGTGCAAGATCAGCCATGACTTCCTGACGTTTTTGTTCGATATGGACTGTCTGTTCACTCAGCTGCAACTGGATTTCTTGACTCTGAACCTTCTTCTTTTCGGCTTCTTGTTGGTCCTTCACCATTTGACGCAACTTCGCATTGGCGGCGTCATTTTTCGCTTGTAATTCTTGCGACTTGACGGCAAGACTCTTCTGCATCTCTTCGACTTGTTCGACAGTTTCGGCGATCTTACTGAGACCCACATTCAAGTGCAGTTGTTGTTCTTCTAAATCTGATCGTTTCTCTCTATACAACTTGACAAAATGGTGGATGAAGTCCAAGTAGTGTCTGGGTGTTATGGCCATAGTACGACTACCACGTTTAGCCAATCGAGCATTGGCTTTGTGGAGAGTTTGGTGAACGTAAACGCAAGCATTAATGACAGCTTCTCTATGTGTGGGAGTAGCAGAAATGAGACTACAAGCCGCCGGGAAGAAATCAGGTGATTTCCATGTGGGTTTATCCAAATCGACCCGATTTGTGAACTCTTTACCGACTTGGAAAAGGGCACCATCTGACCAATCACCGAACCAGTTCAACACACATCTATTAAACAGAGCGGGAGAAGTGGCAGCTCTGTCCTTCAAACCATCAGTTGAAGGATTCATAGTAAAAACAACATGCAAATTGCGCATAACTTGTTGAGTGAACCATTTATACAACTCGTCGTTTGAGTCAAGCATTAAACCTTCTCGTTGCGCCCCTTCTTTACACTGGGTCATCAGAGTGGTATACTCGTCCCCTTCAAATAATCCCGGAACTTCACCATTGGCCAAAAGAGTATTCATCCGTTCCAAAAAGCTTGAATCGAGCATATTTGACTCATCCAAAATAAATGCAATTTTCTCATCCTTGCAACCACTTCGTCTCAAGACTGACCTTAAATCTTCATCAAAGTCCTCAGCGGTGTATTTATTGTGGACTTTGATTTGGAAAATTGACAATCCGTTCATCCAGGCTACAAACCTCGATAGGGTTGTTTTTCCAGCTCCTGATACTCCAATAAGTAACAAATGGCCTTGAGGCTGCCTGAATATCCGATCAATCCTCAAGACATGATCTAGGACTTCATCAAAAAGAACCAAAGGCACATCTAACTCCTCCTCATAGAACACTTTAAGCCTTGCTTTAACATACTCTCTTAATTGTTCCCGATCTACAGGAACATAATCCTTCGACAACCAATTACTGTACAAAATCGGCCTCTCCAAAGCCTTCTCGCAATTCGCTGAAGGGAAATGTTTTAACGCAACAGCATCAATATTCTCATTCGTCCACTTCCTCTCGGATTCCTCTACTAACCGATCTTGGAACAACCTCAAAGCCTCATGGGCCCAAAGTCTGACCAACCCTTCCACATTTAAATGATCTAGCGGCCTAATAGCCTCGCAAATACCACGCACCCAACGAGTCATCTCACGAGGTGAGTACACGTAGTGTGGTTGCATATCCTGAGTGAATCTGTCTTGTGACGCGAGGTAGAATTCTACCATCGCGTTAGTAAGCGGTTCGGCGTAACCGCGCAATCCGAGAGTGAGTCTCAGCATAGCTCGAGTAAACGTACCGTAGATTTGTTTGAGGGATGTTTCTCCAGGATAATCGACGTAAATAACGGGAACGTGTCGTAGGAAACGGTGGGAGAGTGGTTTACGACCCGGGTCGGTTGGAGGGTTGCAAGCACCGACGAATTGGATGCGTTCGAGGGAGACCCAAGTTTGGTCCGAGGCGCGATAGAAACCTTTCTGTTCGACGATTTGGCGGAGGAACATGATTACGCGTTGAGTGCCGTAGTTGTCCATGTCGGGTAAGTTGATTTCGTCGCAGAAGAGGACGAGCCATTTGCCCAACTGACAAAAATAAAAATAATGTTTAATAATAATATTTGCTGTGAATTTGAGACTTACTTGTACCGGCGATAAAACTACACCATTGGGTGTTTTACGATACTCGCAATAGTGATCGAACGTCTTCAAAAGCAATTCAGGTGTAGTAGCTGACGAAAAATTCAAACCAACAACTTCCATATCTGGAAGAGCTCTTAGAGCCGAAAACAAAGTCATTGTTTTACCAGATCCAGGGGGACCACAAAGTACTAAAAACCAAAATTTACCAACTATCCTCTCAAACTTACTTTTCACTTACCAATCGGTTTATGTTCAGCCAACCAGGTGTACAACAGCGACTCATGTCGCACCGTATCCAAAGTTGGTACCACAATATCAGGTGACGCGACTTTATGCGTTTCAACTTCAATCTGTGGCACTTTATTTGACCAAGGCGACCATTCACCTTCGATATTGACCTCGTAGTCAATAATCGGCATGTTGTTAGATGGCGGTAGCGGTACTGTAGTCACCGAACGGATAAAATCGCCCAAATCTGACCTCACTTTTAGCTTAGCATCGCCGGCGAAACTCCACAAAAGCGAATAAACCAAACATTTGGGTATGTATTTTTCGAGTTGCTCGTTGGTGAGAGGAAAATCGGAATGGGAATGGTTGTATTGTAGGACATTTCGGACACTTTGGTTCAACATGGAGAAAAGTGAGCTCAAAGCACGTAAGCGCGTGAAATCCATGATATGTTCTTGTTCCATTGCGTACTCCAAACACCGGACGACTAAACCATCAGGGGCCAAATGAGACTGGAGTATATTCGCAATGTCGACCTGCACTTGAAGAGTCGGCGACAACAAATCATCTTTATTTTCAGTTTTTTTCCCGAAACTGTCGTCTTCTCCTTCCTCCAATGGGATACTTTTAAGCCTCAGCATGTAATTCTCGAAAATCATTTCAGTCGAAAGCACATCCTCGGAGAACCACACCATGCCACAACGAGAAACTGTAGCCAAAGTCGCGTATTTCAAGTCTTGTACCTCGAACATGACCCTCACGTTGGGAGGGAGTGACAGACGTTCGCCATTTGGCAAAGTCAGAAGTTTGTTATCGTCGAGAACAGAGTTGAGATTTTCGACCCATTCAGGATCGACATCACCATCGAAAATAATCCATTGTCGTTTATTGATTTCACCTCGAACGTTATCGATAATTTTGCGAAGAATGTGAGTAAAGAGACCGTCGGTCCATTCGCGGGTGTTGGGGTCTAAGACACCATATAGGGCTTCTTTGCTTATAGCTTTGGGGTCGATAACATGGGCAACACCCTCGACGCCTTCAAACCGTTCCAAGGCTTTAAGCAGGACTCTCCAAGCTGTGCTTTTACCGGAGCCACTGGGGCCCACCATCATCAAACCGTGATTGAGATTTGAAATTTGATACAATTGGAGCACCTATAGAAAAACATATTGTAAACATGGTCGTAAAATTGATAACAGAGTAACGAAATTGTGTTAGGGTACCTTTTGAACCCATGTCTCTCCAACTAAAGTTCTCTGTGCAGCATGGAATGAAGTGCGAACATCATAACATTTAATTTGAAAAGGGTTAGCAAGTGTCTTACCTTCTCCATCCAGGCCGAGCCTTGCTCATCGCCTTCGCCACACACTAAGAACTCTTCTTGACAAACTTTGCGGATCTCGTCTTTCAAACCTATAATAAAAATAATAATGATTTTACTTTTTTTAACAAAATTTCTATCTATTACCTTTCATTTCTGCCCGCGTATATTGTACATTCGGGAACACATCATTCAACAAACTTGACAGCAACGGAATATCCTCAGCCACTAACTTCGGAACCATCGTTTCGCAAACCGACTGAATCAAAATTGCCTGTTCTGGTAAATTCTCCGCAATACCGGCCTCATCAATGTTAGTTTCGCCTCGTTGTTTCATTCCTTCTTTAATTTTTTGAATTCGGTCACGTTTTACATTACCGGCAGAGACCAAAACTGACTTGAGTGCTCGCAAACCGAAATCGTAATGTGATTGGTTGGAGAGTTGTTCATCACACAATCTGTAAGTAAGTAGTTATCACACATTTTCGCCCCAAAAAAATCCTTCGATATAGACGTACTTGAAAAACGGTACAATCTTAGACGCAAGTTTCTCGGCAGTACGGAACCCTTGAGAGAAAAGCATCACTTCGGCAATTAATTGCCTGTCTGGAGTAGTCATAGCTAAGGACCTGAATAACTTCTTTAAATTATCAGGTAAGTTGGAGCGGCCGGCGTAACCCGGATTCATTGTAATGAAAATCGCCATGTCGGGTGAGACTCGTACTTGTTTTCCCACTAGTTCCACGGTAATACCTACACAAAAACCGTGATTATATCTAATCTCTAGAGAAACAAATTCATTTAAACTCACTTCCAGTCGCAGCATTTTCATCCAATTCTCTTTCCTTCTGTGACTTTAACGCCTCTTGTATGGTTTGAACTTGTTGCGACACCGCTGACAACATCCTCTCTTCCAAACGATTAAATTCATCGAAGCAACCCCACGCGCCCACTTGACACAAACCGACAAAAATTCGTCCCATCGCTTGGAAATCAAACGTTTCATCGCAATTGAATACGAGAACAAAACGTCCTAACTGATTCCCGAGTGCTTTCACTGATTCAGTTTTACCAGTACCGGCAGGACCAAATGGAGAACCTCCAAGACGTGCTTCCAGAGCTTGAGTCATCGTCAAATAACACCGATCGGTCAAAGGAGTCTGCACTAATCTATCTTGAACCCCGAGATACTCAAATCCATAGTAGAATTTAGCATTGGCCATATGTATCGTCAATTGTTTCAAAACCTCGGTTTGGCGAGGATCAAAGTAGTACCTCATTTCGCACAACCATTGGAACGCTTTGTTACCACAAACTCCATTCGCGATCAAACGTCTAGTCACAGTCCGCTTATGAACAAACTCATTAATCAAATGTTCTAGTTTTTTACGTCTCAACAACGGCTGTTCTTGCAATACCGAATCAGCGAGTACAGTCAAGGTTTTCTCAACCTGTTGCAAAACCTTCTCGAGAACACCTTTCTGAGGCTCTCCGTTCATTTTCACCAAAGCTGCTTCCACATCCTCGCTCCACAAAATCTGAGCTGCAAGTACCACAATCTGGGCTTGGTATTTATCCACCCATTGCATGTACTGTTTAGGATCAATCTCATCTTTGAACTGTTTACTATCTTGGACGGCCTGAGCTAAACTCGAGGCTAAAGTAACACGCATTTCCTTTTCGACCAAAGTCAGCCACTCATTGATTTTCGGATGTTCGACCGTACTCACAGGAGTACAAAAATTGACTTCTTCGCCCTCTCGTGACGCAATACCAGTAATAACAGTGTTATCCTCATTTAGAATAATGGCAGCAACTCCGGCAAACATTTTCTTGAAATGTTTCTGCAACCGGGCAATATTTTTACTATTACCAATGATTTCCAACAAGTCTTCATCACCAACGAAATAGAATCGGGGGAAGGAGGTACGCTCACGCTCTAAGTACTCGCCCAAAGCCTTCTGGATCTTCCCCAGTAAATCAGCAAGACGTTCAAGGGCACGTTGCACGCCTGGGATATTCAAAACGTCCATCACCATCGGCGATTTACTCACTTTTTTCATCAGACCCAAAAACTCAGAACTGATACTTTGGAAACGGGAAGTTTCAACTGGAAGCAAAGTTTTAATATCGGCACTTCCAGAGAAAATCCCTTCGAGATAGACCCAACGTCTCTGCACGTCGATCCATACATCAAAGAGAGCATTAATCCGGTTCAATTTTTCTTCCCAAGTCAAAGCTTCCTCTTCAAATACTTTGTAATACGGAGACAACTTCATCGCGGCGACTGAATTAATATGTTCCTTAACTTTGTTAAATAAATCATCCCAGCCACGGATCAGTTTACATTTATTTTGGTAGTTGATCAAGTCGAGTTCGTATGTTTGCCAAGACTCGCGTACTTGTTTCAAGAATTCTTCCAGCGCCATCTCTCCCTGTGCAATCAAGATAATATCCTTGACTATAGATTCGTTCTTCTGCAAATTCACATCCCAGACTTGACCCAAAGTTAAGTCCGACAACACCCAATTGACTCTCAACTGTTTCATCAGTTGTTTCCAATGACGTTCTTTCAAAGCGTCCGATTTCAATTCAACAATCAACATATTGACTTTCGTATAATTATTGAGTGTCTTTTTAACGTACTCGTAGGATGCATATTGACGCAACCTGGCCGGAAGTTCCTTCAATTGTGCACTCATGGCGTCTAGCTGTTGTCGCAACTTACGAGGTTGCACCGATAACCACGGCTTTTCTCTTGTTTCATCGATTTGAGTCCAAATCCTCGATAATTCGGACCAGACCCCTCGCAAGTCTTGCAATTCTTCATACACGACTTGCATCCGGTCTTCGCTGGTACTTACACCTCCGGGTTCTTGCAACTCCAAAGCCTCTTTGGCTTTAGCAACATTATCGCGTTCTTCTTTAAGTCGAGCGAATTTGCTTTCAAAGAGTTGCAATTGAGTCAAAGCATCGTCAGGTTTAAGGTGACCTTCGACCGGTTTACTCCTCTCCCAGTCATTCAAGAAATCGTTAGTGCGACTCTCGACGGCTTTATCCTCCGAAACGATTTTCTGCTGCAGACTTGCAACCTGGGTTTGGATAGAAGAATCTTTGCGTTTGATGATTTCGTTAAAAGCGCTCCATTCGCCTTCTAAGTTTTCAACGTGAAGCCAAGTGGTGGGAAACTGGAAACGTTGTCGTTCAAGGATTCTCTGACCTTCGCGGTAAACCTCGACTTGTTTTTCCCAAGCTTTCATACTGCGTTTCAACTGTTGCACATAAGTGATGAAACAGACCGCATCTGAGGTACTCGCAGCTTCGATACTTTGCAACTCAAGATCGGAACGTGATTTTGAGACATTCGAATGGAAAGTAACCATTTCGTTACCCAAGAGACTTCCAAACTTACTCAAAGTCTCTTTGTGCCACGAGTCGTACTTAAGTGAGACTTTACTTTGGACTTTAGCAAAGTCTATAACGACTGGACCAAATTCACGTCTTGTATCCGACGTATCAAACGTGGTACGAGTCTTTTTAATATCATTAAGACACTCCATCCATTTACTTATATCATCACCCAACTTGCCATAAAGATTATCAGCTTGTAAGTCCCATAATGACTGGTAAGTCAACCATTCGTTGACATAATTCTGAATCTCTTTAATTTTAGAAGCAATAGCACTGTAGGCATTTTCCAAAGGTACTGATAGATTCGGTAATTTCGTTAAAATGTTTCTATAGGTTTCTGCAACCGGCTTATCGACCCCAACTTGATACCGACTACTTTGTAACCTCTGTTGCGACATAACAATCGCCTCCCAAGCAAACAACTGTTGCATAATTTGGAACCTCGCCTCTTCAATACTCGGGTACAAATACATGGTTTGATTCGTAATCCTCACTTCGTGTACCACAACCTGAATTTGCGGATCACCTCCTGGTTTGTGTGTCGGTTGAGTCGGAGCATCCGTATCCATACTATGATCAATTTCCTTCTTTTGGCCATTGAGAGCATCAGTCCAGGCCTCAATACCGGCTTGCAGACGCCTAGCTAAATTCTTCTCGACTTCTTCATCCAATCTATTGACCCAAATGTGCAAGTTGGAATACTGTTTTAGTGATAAATCGTCAACAGCATGTTGTATTTTCGATAAAATATCAGCAAAAGTGTTGGCTGAGTAGGGACAAGTCTCAAGTGACCTCACATCGACTTCAAGTTGCTCGCCAACGATGACGAGTTCTTCAACGCGTTCTTGAAAACTGACAACGGTATCAGAGAGGCGTTGGACGTAGGGATCGAGTTTATAGCTCTCCCAGACGAGTTGGATGCCTTCAGCGATGAGTTGTTGTACTTCTTTGCGCATTCCGGCGACAAGAGGGATGATACTGGCTTTGTCTTCAATCTGTGAGGAATTAAGTAGATGAGACACAAGTTTGGATTTTTTATAACACAACATGCAATAAAAAATCGTACTGTCAGAAAAATAGTAACTAGAAAAATAGACAGTAGTACTACGAGTATGGGGAAACACATAACATGCCGTAATTGATGTAAGCTAGACGCTACCTTGGTACCGCCTTGAGCGCTAATCCTGTTTGAGAGCTACATAATAAAAGACATATGCCTGAATTTGTATTCAACACAAGTCAAAACTCATTCATTTATTGCTAATTACTTAAACTAAGCGTTAGTTAAAACAGCGAGTGGTAATACTGGCAACAAATTAATTCTAATTAACGTAAAAAACAGAAAGTACTGCTTTCTGAGTTTGATAAAGGTTAAGACCGCTCTATGTTAACACAAAAAAGAAAAAAATATTTACGAATGCATCCAAGAACAATGTTCCACAAGCGACAAAAACCTTCCAAAATTTAACACTTTTTAGTGATTAGGTTTTATCAACTATAATTTTACGTTATATTGTATGTTTGAGTAAAATAATGAGGACATCATATTGTATGCCATTACCACTCGCTTTCAACGCTGTATAATAATTAAAAAAAATATACTTAACATTTCACTTACCTTTTCCAGAGTCATTTCGTAGGTCCTCACACTTTCAATCAACGAAATCGCAAATGGATACAACTGATTAGCTTGATGTGCCTTATTAACAATCGCTAACGGCACTCTAAACCCTAGACATTTCAAATTTCGCACTTCTTTCGCCAAAGTGATAATCTCCGGTAGAAAATTAACTCTCAACTTCAAAACATTCCCGCGTCCACTTCTCGAACGCACAGCTTCGATCGTAAAAATACGACCAGTCACTCCTAAATTGCGCTGTTGCACATTGCGCGCCCAATCATCAAAAATTTCCTGCGTATTCAACTTCACTCGAAAACTATCACCGTCAGCTTTCAGTTTCTGACCTTCGATGTGATTTTCCCAACCTTTTCCTTTATTAAAAAAATAATAAAATAATATTTCGAAAATCAACAAAAAATTTATTTATACCTAAAACGTCTTCAACTCGTCGCAAGTAAGTTGTCAATTGATGGTCAATCTGTCTTGCCCAAATGATTGAACCGGCGACTGGTGGCAAATCGCGAACTTTGCTGATTCGAGCGCTATTACTTTGAGGGTATTGTACCTTAAATTTCTCATGCAGAGCTTCGATATCATCTTTAACTCTTTGAATCAAATGAGTTTGGTACTCCCTAATAGCCCCGCGGATATGTGGTCGTACGAAAAGTGCATTAAAGCGCGAAAAAATCCTGAACATTTCATTGGCATTCTTAGCTGTTCCAAGTTGGTCTCTAAGATGTGCAGTGATGCGAGTTTCAACTCTATCAATACGTTCTTCATATCGTTGGACAGCTGCATCCCAGGCGTCCTGCCCTTCTTTAGAAATATCCAAACAATCGACTTCTTTCACATTTTCGTAAGCCAGATTAACTTCCTATAATGACAAAAGAAAAAATTCAAATGTCTTGAATTGTGGGATAACAGACCTCGATGGCATTAGCGTCGGCCGCATCCAACGACAGGGTCGGTTTAGACTGATCCAAATCTTCTCCTTCTACAGGGGCTGCAGCATCTCGCACCGAAGGTCGCAAAACTCGAACTATAACAGTACGAAGTTGTTCGTGTTGACGGCGGAATTTCCGCATGTGTTCCATGCGACTTTGAAGCTTCTTGTGTTGGGCTGAAATCCGCCAGACCATTTTCATTTGTTCATCCCGCTTCTTCTTAATGATGTCTCTGTACAATTTTCAATAAATCAAGATTAACGAATCAAAAACTAGTTGGAAAAATACCGAAGTAAAGCTTGAAGTTTTTCATATTCATCCTCCCAAATAGTAAATACATCAAAACATTGGGTCATCACTTTCTCGAATTCGTCGAATGGAATGTGCATCAAGCGTCTAGTACCCAAAACTTTCAGTAATTGGGCACCCAAATCGCGAGAAATTGCTTCGACGAGACGTAGACAACGCTGAATTGGGTACTTTGTTGATCTTATTTTTCGGAGATGGGCAAAAATTAATTGAACGGCTGCTCTAATCCGCTCTAATTCCGTTGCTGATAGTAAGTCGTTGATTGGGAAGTCCTTTAAATTACAGTAAATAAATAACCAAAGAACTTCCACAAAAGTAATAAAAAGATTTAAGAAATAACTTTGAGGGAAGCTAAATAATTTTCAATTTGAAACTCAATAGCTTAGTTATTTAAAATGTTTCAACAATTCACCAAAAACATTTTTTTTTATTATTAGAAATAATTATCATTGCACTAACGTAATATTTTTTTCCCATAGATGATGGGTAAAAAATGTAATAAAAAAAATTAATATAAATATTGTACCTTCATCAACGGATTGTAGTCATTAACGGTGGCTATGGCCTGTTTCAATCCTGTGTCTGTGTCAAAAGACACTGTTGCATGAAACCTCTTTCCATGTTTGAGAATATCCAAAGTCAAAGCAACCTCCATACTCTCCCTCTTCTCTTGAATCCGATGCAACGCTCTCTCCAAATTCAACCAAAAACTAATTTCCTGTAAAGCGGTCCCTGATGACGGATCCCGGTCCAATTTCGTCACTTTCTGAATCTCCTTAATCCAGCGATTAACCCCGTGTTGCAACTGATTCAGAAAATTCGAATCCTCAACTTTATCGCTGAAATCGGCTACTTTCGGTTTACGGCCTTCATCAGCGCATTGTTTAATCAAACTAGCAACGTATGGATGGACTTGAAGGGTAATTTCAGGAATATCAATGTTTTGTTGCAAATGCAAAAGCCCCATTTCGAGCTCCGCGATTGTTTTTTCAACAGAGGGTGCCATCTTATCACCATCGCGATCGGCTCTGCCCGACTCCTTGACGTAGGATTTGAAAAATGGGGCCACTGTTTTGCTGATGTAAGAATGGAGAATCTCGTAAGGCGAGCCATCGCTGAAATTCATGAGGCGCACTTGCGCCCGAATGCTCTTATCTGCTTCAATGACAGCCCCTCGTTTGATGCAAACCAAACTGAACATTTTTGAATTGGAATAGTGGACCTCATTGCTGATGTAAAAAGTGACCGGTTCTTTCTCTTCTTCACCCTCAGGGGGTTGGTCGCTGTCATCGTCTATCGGGAGTCAAGGTCATGAGGTGAGTCACACTTTTTGACACTTACCTTTGGATGGATTTCTCTGGATATAGAGAATAGAAACTTGGGGATCGCTGAGAAACTTCCTGATGGTGTCTTGGTTGGATTTGTCGTCAAGAGCCGCCCGAAGGTTGGTAAGTTCCCACTGGTTGTCTTCCGGTAAGAGTACAGTGGCCGCTTTCGTTATAAAATTAGTAAAGTCGTTGAAATCGACGATTGCCACATTTTCTGGCTCGGGAGTCGATTCACTCCCTTCCAAAGAGTCCCCCATGGGGGTACACAGTTAAAAACACGTAAAACACGCAAATAACGGACACACCACGAATGCAAGAAACGTCAGCTACCGGTGACAGCTGCCTTGCAAATGGCCAATTGCAGAATGCAAATTTAAAAGAAGCGAAGAAGAAGGGAGCAAAGAACGATTTGCCGATAAGAAAGATAAAACTTGAGTAAAGATAAACTGCTGAAAAAACGCAGTTGTGGAAGTGGTATTCAATATTTTGTAATTTTTCGACTTTAAACTCAGTAGCGCAAATGCACTGTAGTTCTAATAATTAAATTTTTGAACTTACTTTCAGTGCCACTTTCAAGCAATAATATGTTTTAAACACTGTTTAATTTCTTTCTGTTACTATTAAAGTTTTATTTAAAAAGTTAAATTGATTTTAATTAGGGTTGATGCATTGCATGCCATTTTTGTTTATCCACTTTATTCTTTACGTTATAATAATACTCTAATTACCAGCAAGAAAAATCCTAACGGTAATTAGGTTTTTCCTAATTTTATAAAATCACAAATACAGTTCCATTACATTAACCATTAATGTTCAAAAAAAACTTAAAACCATTAATTTGAAGGTGTTTATTAAGTGAAGGTTTCTAACTCATGGAAAATTTGACGCTTATTTATTATTATACTATATGTATTGCATTACATTTAAAGATACATTATTTACAAATTACAATTACATATACATATTTGACTAAATATGAGTCATTTGAAATTCCTCTGAGACTTTTTCGGTCGCATTGTTTGATTCCTGTTTTTTGGTTTCACTTTTTTGTTGCGACTTACTTGCATAATACATCCATCTAAAATTTCTTTTCTATTAACAATTCAACATATTTTTTTGCTCACTTACATTATGACAACTAGTAACAGAACGTGCAAAATTGCTCCAAAATAGAAATAAGCAGAAGGCAAAGTGTCTAAAGTCTTTAAATAAATTGCTTTGTTGTATAGTGGAGCGGCGATTGCAGGACCTATAGCTTCACAAATTCCAAATAGAGACTGAGCTTTTCCTAAATCGTCTTGAGAGACTACTTTTGTAGCTAGTGATCTAATAGCAATGTTAGAAATTCCGGTAATTATACTAACAGCAGTGGCTAAAACATATTTACAATTATTACAATTCAAAAATAAAATATATTTATATCTGAAAGAGTTACCAACATATAACATGACATCAGTTTTGGCTAAACCAAAAATAATATTTGTCGCAATTTTATCGACAAATGTGACGGCTAGAATCATCAAATCTCCCATTGATAGAAATTTGGTAAACAGGGGAACCCCAATTAATGTACCTATTAATAAATTAGTTCGAATTCGTGTAGTTCTGTTGGTATTTTTGTACTCACCTACTAGATGAATAACGGTATTAATAGTGATAAAATAACTGTATTCCAAAGGACCCCAATTAAAAAATCCTTGGACGTACAAATAAAAGACGCCACCTTCACCTACAACCGCAGGTTTAAATCAGGGGAAAACCATACAATGATACCAACCTGTAACCACTATACTATAAATGAATAAAATGAACAAAACAGCAACCACAAACGCTCGATTATTTTCTTTACTCTTCTTCAAAAGAATATTAAAAGTTTCAATAGCGTGTTTGGGGTCAAAAGCATCAACAAAAAACGATTTTTTCGAAATAACATCGGGTTGATTTGGTTCTTTAATCCAAAAAATTCCATACAAAATCGCGAATAAATAACATCCAACAGCAATTGACAAAACTCCAAAATAGCCAGTTTTTTCAAACAAAATCCCACTCACAGCCTGCCCCACAGGAGTGCAAACATTTAAAACGATTTGCACAACTCCAACCCTCAACGTACGCATCTCCACAGTACTAACATCAGCAATGTAGGCAAAAACAGCCATGACAATCATGGTCTGTCCCCCGAAAAAAGACGGTACGACAGTCTGGGCGATCCCTTGGGAAGCCAGCGGCCACTCTTTCATAAAAACAACACACAGCATACAACCAGCGACGGCGAAAAACTCCCCCAAGACGGGAATCAAGAGGAAGGGTTTGCGCAAGTTGTGTCTGTCGCTGTACGAGCCCAAAAACAGGACCAAAATAAGAGGCATGACGCTTTGGAGAGGAATCTGCCACGAGTGCATGTCTCCAATCAAAATTTGAATTTTTTCGTTTGCCTCGGAGTAATTTGTAGCCTCTCCGCTGAGGATGGCGTCGCAGATGGAGTCGTTAAGTTGCAGGTCGGCCCGACAGCCCTTTTCGAACTCGAGGTTGTACAACGCGGGGCCGCAGATGATGGAGGCGAGGAGGTAGGCAGCGATTAGGGGTTCGACGGTGATTACATTTTTGATATAGAGGAGGCGTTCTTTGGTGGTCATTGTCCGAAAGGTCTTCGGGTGCAGGTCCGCGACGGAAGCGGTGACGAGTTCAGTCGTCGATGCCATTTTTGTCGAAGACGACACTTCACTTATGGACAGTTTTTGTTTTCATGCTAAATTGCGTGTAGCATAGCTGAATAGAAAGATTCTCACTGAGAACAGGTTTCTCGGGGCAAGTCGGTGGCCTTAGAGAGATTTAAGGATGTTGTAGGAGAAACAGCAAAAAAAAAGAAATAAAAGTTACATGATCAAGCTGCATTCCGGTTGGAGATTTAAAGTGGTAGGTAATTATCCTGATCATTTGAACTTTACTATCGGTTTACGTCGACTAGTGTGAGATAGGAAGACGGATTTTGTTTTGATGAAGATGCGCTTAGTGTTAAGGTTACGGAATAAATAAATATTAATAAGCATTTATCACGCAATTGTTTTGAAATGAAAATATTAAAAAAACAACAACAACGAGATAATTATCGTAATTAATCAGTTTTCAAAATTTGGTTATTGAACTGATAGAGATATTATTTATAAGAATTTTAAAAACTCGTTTAAACCGCATAATATTTTTTGCCATTTAATATTTATTTACTAGGTACATACATTTTGTATAAAATACAAACAGAATGAACATTAAGATCAAAGGTTAATAATTATTAAGAATTAGTATTCTTAGGAATACTTTACAATCTGTGTATATAATTACCGCACAAATCAAAAAAGTATGTACTACATATTTGTAGATACACTATTATTTCGTTTAGAAATAAATATAAAATAATAAATTCTTGATAGAAAACCTGATTTTTTATTTTAGCTGTAGGTTCATTCTTTAGTTTTTATAATAAATTACAAAAAGTAAACATTAATGATAAAAGCCAATTTATTTTGCAAAGCATTATTTTATATGACACATTTCCAAGGAATATGACCTTCAATATCATTTTTTCTCAACGATTTCAAGCAGAATAACTAGAATTGATTGCAAAATATCATCGTGATTAAAAGTACACAACAAACCAATTTAAAAAATTAAAAGTTAGTTATCTATTGTAGTAAGATTCGATAAAAAATAAGTGGTTTATGCTTAAAAAATATTGAACATGAAAATTTGAAACGGTTACATGTATGTTACAAAAAATGTATTCGTTTTTTTATAGAAAAGAGACATTGAAATCTTTAGTGAAATACAACAAGTTATGTTTCTGTAATAATATAATATTATGTAAGAACAACCTTATCATATTTTTTATCTTAATTTTTTAAGTTCATAACAAAATCAGATCCTATGTAAAAACAAGCTGTTGTAATATATTTTTATTGTTATTTTCTAAACAACCCGTACAAAACATCGCATTATAAAATAAATTTCAAACAATAATTCTTCGCGCTTTTCGATCACTGCGCTCGCCATTATTGAATCTATTGTGGAGAAGTTATAACTATACAAAGGTGCATTTGAACTATATATCATGAAAACTAAAATTAAAATATCCCACATGTGAGGTTATGTTGATGTCAATATAGGTGCGAAATTCGAACAATTATCGCTTTTTTCCCTTGCAAACTCCTCCTAAAAATGGAAGACTTCACTTGTCCGCGATGTAAGACATCGAAATTCCAAAACCCATCACTAAAAATGATGGTAAACGTTTGCGGCCACGGATTATGCGAAAGTTGCGTCGACCTGCTCTTCCTCAAAGGCTCCGGAAGCTGTCCCGAGTGCCGGATTCCACTCCGCCGCAACAACTTCCGTGTCCAGTTATTCGAAGACGCCACAGTTGAAAAAGAGGTGGATATTCGTAAACGCGTCTTGCGTGATTTCAACAAAAAAGAAGAAGACTTTAATTCGCTGGCTGAATACAATGATTACTTGGAAGAAGTCGAAACGATCATTTACAACTTGACAAATAACATTGATGTTATTAACACGAACAAGAAGATCGAGCAATATAAACGCGACAATCGCGAACAAATAATGAAAAATAAAGGCAAACTAGGAAGGGAGGAATACGAACTTGAGGAACTCTTAGAGTTAGAGAAACAACAACAAGAAATACGTAAACAGGAGATAATTATTGAAGAAACTGAAAGTAAGAAGAAAAAAATTCGCGAGAAAGAAGCACTGATTGATGAGTTGATGTTTTCGAGTGAAAATGCTAAAAATATCGTTGAAACATTCGCCCAACAAGTCAAAGAAGCAAAAGAGGAGGAAGCTAAAGCCGCTCCTGCGAAAAAGACACATTTCTCAACGGGGATTCAAATTGGAAGGCAGTCTCAAAGCTCATTTTTGCCTGTTCCCATAGAAGAGGGTCCCTTATTTATTTATAAACCTTTGGTTTTGCAAATTGAAGGTCCCAAGTTGCCAACAGATGAAGAAATCGTTGGTATGGGATACACAAATCATGTACGAACGGAAAATGAACAAGAGAGAGCGGGTGGTTTCAAGTCCAATATTGCTTGTATCAGGGCTTTGCAAGATGCCTTCTCGGGGCTGTACCATGTAAGAAAAACGCCAGTTCACTAATTTATTTTCATGTTGGAGAATAAAGTTATCTTTCGTACATTAAAACATTTATTTTGTTAAAATAGAACACACAAATCTAAAATTTATAACTAGAAGTGTGCCCGCGATAAATAGCACCGTTGATTACATCTAATTGTACTTGCAATAAATTTGTTAAATTAAGCAATAAGTAAAGGAGGGCTATTTTAGTTTAAAATAAACGAAAAATTTGTTTAGGTTAAAATGAGTCAAGTTCATTACCGTCTAACTAAATATCATTAGTAACTCGGTTATTAGATGTAATTGACACTCTTTATTAAAGCGAATCTGCCTATTAAAACATTAAATGGCAGTGTTCATGGGAATTACACAATGTAAATATCATCTCATGTGATGTACAGAAAATTATTTCAATTGAAATAATTTTATAGAGATCTCTAAATGAACAATCAGGCAATCTTATTTGTCTCAAAAAATTCATAAAACTATTCTAGCCACTAGTAGCCTAGAAAAATATAATTCATATAAAAATAAAATTGGTGTTTTTCACTCTATTTGGTAGAGAATAACTTATATACAAAAAAAGCTTGAGTCATATTCATATAAGTCTGCCTCTCTTTATAGCTACATATTATATACAATATTTATAGAGCTTGACAGCTAAAAATCAGACAAACAAGGGGTCAATGAAAATTCAATATACTCGTGCTAAGGGTAAAAAAAATGTGTCCATGGATCAACAGAAAATGTGGTTAGGTACTGAACTTTTTATTAAGTGTAAAAAAATGTATGATTAAGAAACCTCACTGGAAAATATACCAAGTGATCCCTTATTTATCTGTAGAAAGAACACAAACCGTGCAGATATGTCCTAACAGCGTAATTACGTTTAAATATCATGAAAATCTTAGTGATGTGTACATAAAAATAAGCGTCTAGAGTGCGCATTCACAGCATGCAGCATTTTTTCTTGTTCCTTTTCATATACCCGGTCTTTAGAGGCGGCCTTTCAGATAACTGGAATTTTCGCACAACGCGAACCAGTTCGTAAAAGGCATTATCCACATTCATCCTCATTTTGGCACTGCATTCAATGTATGGGATTTTTAATTGTCTTGCCAGCTGTTGCGCCTCCTCTTGCCAAACAACTCGTTGGTGTTCCAAATCCACCTAAACGGAACTGTTTACAAAAGGGCGGAAAATAGATTAGGGTCAAGGAATTACCTTGTTTCCCACCATCAACATGGGGAACTCGTCGCGGTCCTTCACTCTAAGGATTTGTTTGTGAAATTTGTAGACTTCTTCAAAACTGGATCTTTCTGTTACTGAAAAGACAAGTAAGAAGCCTTCACCTGATCTCATGTATTGTTCTCGCATGGCACTGAATTCCTCTTGACCGGCGGTGTCCAAAACTGCAATTTCGTGAGTTAACCTTGGGTTATTTTGGGGCTTGAGAGTAAACATTGGGGCGCTACTTACTGTCTAGTTTTGCGGGGATATCGTCGATGACACATTGTTTAGTGTAAGAATCTTCAATGGTGGGGTCGTAGTCGGTAACAAAATAGCTCTGGAATTTCGTTTTGAAACTTGTGACAAAGTGTAGGATAAATTACAAGGTTAAACACACTTCACTCCATATAAAGCTAAATGTAATTAATTAGGGACAATAACACCTGACAATTTTGATACGCTAAATCAACGAAGCCAGACTTTTACAACAATGGAAAACATGCAAAATTGATAGTATTTATATAATTACCTGAATAAATTGTAAAGTTATTGCGGACTTTCCGACACCACCTCCACCCACAATAACCAATTTGTATGTTTGATAACTGTTGGGCCTGTCCGTTACTTTAGACATTTTAATTTTCTTTTTCAAATTAAAACTAATTTACGACGACTTTACTCAACTACCGATTTAAAAATAGGGAAAAAATAAATATAGAACAACTAAACGTGAAGTTAAACCTACCAATAAAAAAATTAGTCACAGATTTAGTAACATTTAAGATTCTATCGCAGCGTTGGCAGCAACACGGCGCCAAGTTCAAATAATTGTCACGTCTTGTTTATCATTTGGTTTTCAGCACATGTGAACATTTTCGAGGAAAGTTTTATTGATGCGGGTGTACGATGGTCCCACGGTTTGAATTTGCAACCCTTCAGTCGTTGTCTTCGTTGTTTTTTTATGTAAATTAGCAAATGTCATTACCATGTTTTATGAATAATGCTCGTTTCCGGTGATGAGGGAAAGCATTTTCCGAGAAATAAATATGGGGCATTAAAATTGCATAATGTTGAAGCTGAAGATGCGTTGACCTTCGTTTCCCGCCAGTTACAGCGAACACCCCACGATGACGCATTCCAAGATGTGGCCATCAGGTACTTGGTTCATCCCCCTTTTGCAGAGACGGACTTGAGAGAAAACACCCTCAAAAAAAAATGGTAAAAACTTTGCAAACAATAATTTAAAATTTTGTTTCAAAATAAGTCACTAAAGTTAAAAAAATATTTTTAAACTACACAGTATGCCTAAGCAAATACTTTCTCCGTTATTATGTACTGATAGTTATTTTAGGTAATAGTATATTATTCAACGAATGAGAAAGCTAGCCATTTCCACGAAGAAAATTTACGATCGGAGCAAATTACAAGTGGTAATTCAATTCCAGAATTGGGATTTTTTAAATTCATAATTGCAGGTGTTCATACATTTTTTAAGCAGTTAAGAATAAATCTGTCAACGCCTTTAGATCTTAAGGGTTTTTATATCCACTACGTGATGCTGTAAATATTTTTTTTATTAGATTTTCTTTTTTATAAATACGTTCAGTAAATTTATATCAACAAAAGTTATTTAATAATATATAGGCCCCTTCATCACACTCAACATTTTAAGGAAAAACACCCTGATTTTCAAGGGTCAACAGAAAAGCGCAGCCCCTTCAACACACAGCTACTTTTTAAGGAAAAACACCCTGATTTTCAAGGGGTAACAGAAAAGCGCAAAAAAATCGTGAAAACACCCTGATTTTCAAGGGGTAACAGAAAAGCGCAAAAAAATCGTGAAAACACCCCGTTTTTCAAGGGGTAACAGAAAAGCGCAAAAAAATCGTGAAAACACCCCGTTTTTCAAGGGTTAACAAAAAAGCAAAAAAAAATCGTGAAAACACCCCGATTTTCAGTGGTAAACAGAAAAGCAGAAAAAATCGTGAAAACACCCCCTATTTTAAAGGTATATTTTAAAATTAACATTTTTAAGGAAAAACACCCTGATTTTCAAGGGTCAACAGAAAAGCGCAGCCCCTTCAACACACAGCTACTTTTTAAGGTAAAACACCCCGATTTTCAAGGGTGGTTCAAAAGTCTAAAATTTTAAGGTAAAACACCCTGATTTTCAAGGGGTAACAGAAAAGCGCAAAAAAATTGTGAAAACACCCCCATTTTTTAAAGCCAGCGTAAACCCATTTTTGAAACTCGATGGCTTGTGGTAATTTAAATTTCATAATTAATGAATACAAACCCAGTTCGTTAATAAATAATATTTTGACATCAATTTTCTTGACGCCCTGTATTAGGGTGTCTGGAAATTCTATCTTTTAAAGGAAAACAACCTGATTTTCAACGTAAATCAAAGAGCGCAAAATTTATGAGGTCTCCCTCAGAACATTTGTCCTGTTTCTGTAAGGTAGAAGGCATGCTATACAAACTTATGTAGATGGCTCTGTTCAGCACAACAGTTCAAATTGAATGATTCTAGAAATCAACCCATTGAACAAGTTTTTAATCAATTTTCCCGACTGGGTAAAACACGCTGTCTGTAAAATTGGTGTGAAAACTATTTGTTAATGAATAGGATTAGCACAGTTATAGAACTATGTCAAAAATAGATAAAGAAGAAATTTCTTTTTTGAAGAGAACAAAAATAACAATTTTAAACAAATTTTAAGAATTTATGCACATGTTCTTTCACCTTCTGTCAGATCAAACAATTTCTTCGTTATTTGATTTGCAACAAACTGTAGATATTCCATTGTCTGAAAATCTCACAAACGGCATTACAAATTTTACAGTTGTATGATCGCCTTCATCTTTTATTTGTCCGTTTATATTATATAAATTTTTCAGTTTGATTAAATATAATTTCATACTAGCTGAACTTCGCTCTCTTTGTATTATGTGAAGAATTTTACTTGTTCTATCTATATTTTCATCGTTATCTATCTCACCTATTATAATTTTTTTATGATTCATTTACATGTATATAAAAAACACTTTCACTACTACAGACGATTAATTAGTTTTATTATTTGATCGATAAGACTACATTTAAATCCAAAAACTGTCAAGTCAAATTTATCAGATTTGACTAATGTATTCGAAATATCATCATATTCATAAAACATTTTATCTTTAAAGAAATATAAATTTCTATATCTGAATGCTCTGCTTATATTTGGAGGTATTCCAGCAAATAATTCTGAAATAAGGCCATTTTTCTTTGATCTAAACAAACACTCATCAAACTCAATATATAAAACTTTATCATAAAATATATATGTTTTTCCAGAATAAGTTCTAAATATCGCATCAATTCTTTTTCCTTTTGGTATTCCTAAATTATCAATAGATTGACCATTGTATCCACTTTTAACATTAAAACTTGGAAAATCAACTAAATAATATAAATTTTTAACAACTATTAAAACATCACCTGAAGGTCTTTGATAAATATGCGAAACTTCTTTAAAATCATCTGGCAAAAAATATAAATAATCTTTAATTAATTTCGGTTCTTTATCATAAGTCATATCTTTTAAATTGACTAATCAAACATACTTTTTATTAAAAAAAATATACATATGATGATTTGCAATTAAAAATGTGTCAATTTCTTTATTAAAATCACATAAATTCACCATAGGCTCGTGAGTCGAAGACGAATTACCAACAGTATCTTTTACTCCGACTTTGCTTACAGTAGGTTTAACTGTTGTTGTTGTTGTTGYTATTAATTCATATTTTAATCGTTCAGGTCGTCCATWTAAATATTGAATTGCCCAGATATCGTCTTGAGTCAATTTATCAATACCACCATTATAATAGGCGTACATAATTGAATTATTATTTGCAGAATGTTCAATACCTAATGTGTGTCCTATTTCATGTAATAAAACAGTATAAAAATTAGTTTGATCATCAGGTGTATTGCTTGATTCACCAAAATACCAGTTTTCTGATTTATCAAAATGGATTCCTAAACATTCATTATTATTTTGAAAAAAAGCATGAGCTAAAACATTACCTTTTCCGTCGAAACTTCTAGATCATATTCCTTTTTGACACCGTGAATTATGATTATGTTGAAACAGTGTATTAGAAAATGAAATAAGTATATCCGGTTTAATACTATTATACTCAAACATTAAATTTGAAACAGACTGCCATTGATTGAAGGCTTTTTGTGCTAATTCTTTCATTTCATTTGTAGCTAGTGAAAAATACCATTTAAGACTTGTTTTATTCCATTTTTCATAATGAACTCTATAAGCTGTTGGATTATCTTTATTTCCACATCTAAGGAAATCAAGTGTTTTCTGATTTAATGTTCCATCAACAGGTAAATTATAATATTCTTGAAAGCTAATCAATGCTTCATTTACATCTGTTAATGATGAACTATTACTCTCCAAATAACCAAATTGTTCTAAATAACTCTGAATCCGGACGGGGTCCTCATCTGAACTTTTTACAGTAGTGAAAAATAGGAAAAGAATAAAATATTTCATTTAATAGAATAAATTCCTGGACGCTGTCGACTCATGGACAACGCGATTTAAATATCAAATTGAACTAAATGGGAAGATCTTCAGAAATAATTATATTACAAAAACAATCTTCACAATCACTAGAGTTGAAGATCATATGATTTCTTTGCAGAAACACTATTTGCTTTTTATCAAGAAAATATGAAACAGCGTCATATAACTCATAGAACTTATTAATTTTTTTAGAGTCTGAAAATAAGTCAACAACGGATAAATATAACTTCAAGTTTCCCTCTAAAATAAAAAATAATCCATTAGTTGGACCAACATCATTTGATTTACTTATAGCAGTAATAGCATACCTCTTATCAGTCTTTAAATCAAATAATTTAATTTCTTTTGGTTCTGTCATCGTCCTCGACTCTGGGGTGGCATTGCCAGTCATTTATTACAATAAAAAAATATCAATTTCCATTTAAGTGGACTTTTTCCAGGTATTTCTCTCTGGGAAAATAATTAAAATTACTGACAAATTCCTCTTCACGTAAATTTATCTCTTTTTCATTTATTTTATCAGCCTTATATAAATGCAATAACTGTCTATAAAATTTATAAATTAACTTATATTCTTCAATTCTTTCTGATATTTTTAACCTCTTATCTAAGATTTCTATTACCCCAGCTCCAAGAGATAAACAAACTAGTGGTGGTAGTGCTAACGAAGATAATCCCGACGCTGTAAATAATAATTTACTAATAGATAATCCAATTCCAATTTTATAAAAATATATGTAACTTTTTTTCTATACATACAAACGTTTTTGTAGATATTTTTCCATTTATAACATATAGATAATACATAATTTTTTAATTACGTTCAAATATTGAAATAGTAGTTTTCTCATTTAAACGACACGGTATCTGTTTAAAAGAATATAATATATCATAAAAATCTTTGCCTCTGTTGACATTAATTACCACATATATACAGTAATAACCACATAAAACAGAAGAATTCATTTGTAATTGTGTGCTATTCCACGCAATATTTTTTCCACTACTTAATAAATATTTTTTAATTTTTTCTGGTGGAGATATTCCAAAACTGTCAAAATATAAAATATTTCTTAAATATGGTTTGTTTATGTAACATACCCAGTGTGAGCCATAACAATTAGAGGGTTGAAAATTAATTATACCTGATTCATCTTTTCTAATTTTTTTTGGTAACATGTCAATTGCAAAAA